ATACAGCAGGCGTCGTCAGGGTCGGGATCGAACCCACGACCTTCCTGTATAGCAGGCGAGGTAGTTAACATCTCCTAGCCACCGTGATGATGATGAGAGAGACACACAAACTCCAAACATACAGCAGGCGTCGTCAGGGTCGGGATGGAACCCACGACCTTCCTGTATAGCAGGCGAGGTAGTTAACATCTCCTAGCCACCGTGGCGCCCCGTGCTGATGATGAGACCCAAAAGGGGCGAACCCAACCCAGAGTTTTGCGCGGCTTTAACGATTGTCGCTGGGAAGATTTAATAGGTCGACAGACTGAAAAAATATACACACTTGAACTTTATTTAGGGATACCGAACCAGCCGATTGAGTTTATTTCCCACTCACTTTCATTATTGATGGGTAAATAATTGGCGTTATTAATGTTACGTGTATTGTCCACGGAGACCGTGGCAGGCCATAAACAGCTGCGAACCGATAAAGTAGCGCGTCTCGGAGACAAGATGAAATATCATGTGATGATATATTTACACCGCGTGGTTTGTGTGTGCCCGTGTGTGGATGTGTGCGTGCGGTTCTCCATCGATGTTCGTTAACACCACTTTCCCCAACAGCCTGTTAAGGCTATACGGGAGATCTTTGTCTATGTATGTACATCTATGTAGGCTGTAGGGTGGATGGGTGGAACATCTGACAGTCATCTCAGTCAGTGAATCTGTATCACCTGGGTCTACTGCCGGACCTCCTGCCAGCGAACATTTCACGTGAACCTAGCCTGGCACAAGCCCCGTGGTGAAGTCATCGTCACTTATTGGCTAATTCCTTTGTTGTCTGATTGCCTATGCGTGTAGGCGTGCATGTGCGTGTGTGTGGATTAATGGGTGCGTGTATGCGAGGCTGTGTACAGGAGTGCACTTGCCCCGACAGTCTGTTGAGGCTGTACTGGGGGTCTTTGTCTTTGTAGGAGTGCCCGAATTTGTGTGTGCATGTGTTTAGTGGTGTGTGTGTGTGCGCGCCAACGTGTATGCGTGATACGCGTGTGCACGAGTGCCTATTTGTGTGTGTGGCGCAGTGTTTGGCGCGCTGCGCTACGAACCCGCAGCCAACCGAGTTCGATTGCCGATCACGGCCACCAACACCACCACTGTGACCATCGTCTCCTTCTAGGTCGACTCAGCCACAAATGAGCGTGGTGCGCCGTTTTGGCCGGACTGGATGCATCGCTAACCGACAGCGCTTCTCACTCGCAGGCGGGTCCAGCCCCCCACCCAACCAAGCCCCTTCCTGTCCCCTTCGCAAACCCTCCGCGTCACCCGACCCCCATCCCCTCCTTGTAAGTGAATCCGGAGGTCGTATACCGTTGGCATTTCTCCGCCCGTACAGCGACAACACGCGCGACACTTGTGCCGATTTCATTGCCCGAGGAGCCCCCCCAAAGGGGCAAGCAAGCCGGGGATGTGCAGGCACGGCGCGTGGGGACATGGTGGGGGCAAGGGGGGGGGGGGCACGTGGATGGAAGAGCGACGCCACTGGGAGACGCGGGGACGTGAGGGAGACACGGTGCGGACAAGGGGGGGTGGGGGGCGAGTGGCAGGAGGACGTGACACGGGGAGACATGGGGGACGGAGACACGGCGGGGGACACGGGTATATGAGACGCGAGCAGACAAGGTGGCGGGAAGGGGGGGGGGCAGTGTAAGAGGGACACGGGGAGACACGGGGACACTTGGAGATACTGAGACACGGTGGGGCATGAGGGCACGGGGACGTGAAGAGACATGGGGGGAGGGGGAGCACGGGTAGACACGAGGACTGGTGCAGGTAGCAATGGTGAGTATCGGTGGGGGGGGGAGGGTCACCCCTCTCACACCCACCCCCTCACCCCCCCGGCTATCGCGTCTCACCCCCCCCCTTCTCCGAGCTGACGCACGCGCTTTTCCGGGAGCACGTGGTGTTACATCACTCACGCGCACTTGGCGCGCGCCTCACTGACCTCACCATTGCGACCCCCCGTGGTGCCCGCCTCCCATCTCACCCCCACACCCCCCACTAACCCCTCCCCCTTCACCCCTCCACTGCCCCCTCCCCTCAAAATCTCCAACCCCCCCTCCCCGCCTCCTCGCACCGACTCATAATAAACAACGAGCGGTAAGGCGTGCGGTGAGGAGAGTGAGGTCAGGGGTCAGGTGAGTTCAGACGTCAGGTGAGGGGTGAGGTGTGTGTGTGGTGAGCGATCAGGTGAGATGTCATGTTATGTGAGAGGTGGGGTCAGGTGAAGCTAGGTGTGTGTGTGGTGAGCGATCAGGTGAGATGTCATGTTACGTGAGAGGTGGGGTTCAGGTGAAGCGAGGTGTCAGGTTAGGTGAGAGGTCAGGGGAGGGGTTAGGTGAAGGGTCAGTTGAGGTGTCAGATGAGGCGTTGGGTGAGGTGAGGGGTGAGGTTAGGTGAGAGGTCAAGAGAGATGTCAGGTAAGAGGGAAGGTAATGTCAGAATCAGAATATTTATTTGTACTGGAGGAATCCGATGAGCTATAAAGTTCTCTTTCACAGATGTCCAGTAGATATCAGGTTAGGGGTCGGCTGAGAGGTCAAGCGAGGTGAGGGGTGAGGTGAGACGCTGCTCACCTAATCTCACCCGCACGAGACCTGCTGCTTCGCTCATACAGACCACGCTCACTTTGAAAATGATGATGGTAGTGGATGTGATGATGATGTGGTGATGGTGGCGATGATGGTGGTGATGGTGGCGATGATGGTGGTGATGGTGGTGATTACGGTGACGACGATTCTGGCGACTCTGGGCACAACGCTGCCTCGGCGGATCACGGTGAATCAGCCCAGCGGTAGGGCATTCATTGCTTGTTGCAGAAGTTCACGGCTCGAACCCAGCGGCCGCCCCGATGAATGCGGCGTGTGTATTATCATCAATACAAATACGCGCCGTCTACTGCACAGTGGACGTTAAAGATCCCGTAGGCTTTCACGACCAATGTTATCCATAATAAAGGGTTTTTTTTAATTCTTGGTTCTTTCGGTAAAGTCACGTAGAAGGGAAACAAAAAATAATAAAAATATAAAACAATAAAATTATCACGACGTTTCGACTGCAATACAAGCAATCATCATCAGGTGTGAAAACCACAGCAAGAAAATTTGAAAAAAGTGGCCTGATGGTTCAATGAGCCACTCTGTCTACAGGAAAGCTACCCATACGGATGCTTACCTGAAACCGGATTCCCACCACCATCCATCCCAGAAGAATTCCCTCATCAAGACACTGCACCATAGAGCCCAATGCATATCCGACCAGGAACACATAGCCAGTGAACTCAAGCACTTACACCAATCTCTTAAGGCTAATGGTTACTCCGACTACACAATCCGCAAAGCTATCACTCCAACCATGAAGAAGGACCCTCTTGAGGAGCCTTTCAAAACCATCACTTTACCCTACATTGTGGGGATCACAAAAAGATCTCCAAAATCTTGAATAAACACAAGATCCAGGTCCGATTCAAAACATTACATAAAATCCGTGATCTGGTTCTGTCTGTAAAAGATGTGATTCCGGACATACAGTACCCTGGCGTCTACAAACTAAGTTGCCTCTGTGGTAGTAGTTACATTGGAGAAACCAAACGCCACGTCTCAGACCGTATTCGGGAACACAAAGCAGACCTGAAACACGGTAGGACCAACACCTCGACCGTGACAGATCACTGTTATAATTCAGTAGGCTCACATGACATTAACTTCTCCAAGACAGAGGTTCTTTGCAAGCCATTTGGCTACCATGAGAGATTCGTTCATGAGGCTATCCGCATATAAAAACGCAGGGACAATTTCAACCGAGAAGATGGATTCTGGCTTAGCAATCATTGGAATATTTGATAAACCATTTCGGGTCTTAATTGATTGTTCACGCTTACGGTGGCTTTCAGACCGCATCCATTATTTTCGTCTCCCCCCTCCTCTTTTCCGAACTTAGATGGACTCGTCCATCTGAATAACTGCCAAATCGCTCTACATGGTGCTAATGTTAAAAAAACCCGCCACTTTTTTCAAATTTTCTTGCTGTGGTTTTCACACCTGATGATGATTGCTTGTGTTGCAGTCGAAACGTCGTGAGAATTTTATTGTTTTATATTTTTATTATTTTATTGTTTCCCTTCTACGTGACTTTACCGAAAGAACCAAGAATATGAATCCCTGCAGTCACAAAAGCTTTAAATCAAAATTTAAAGGGTTTTTTGTTGTTAATGTTGTAGGTTTACTCTCCAACACACCGGTGTGCTGAAGTAGCAACCAATTGGCACGTTTTGTTTACGCAACAAACCTTACTGATTGGCTGTCGGGTGGTGGCAGGTTTGACGACACATTTATATATCACTCGATTTAACTTCCGTGACGTGATTCGCAAGGGTATGCCATCGTGTGGCGGTGTAATGGTACAAAGGTGCCACATATTTAAAAAAAGACACCGCAAAATGAGACTCAATTAGAATCTGGCAATCATCGCCCCTCCTCTTGCTGCTGTGAAAACTTGGCCAGGACCCTCCTAAAAAAGAGGGATCACGAGACTCGGTGAGGATTCTCCTGGGTAAAATATCGCGGCAATAAAAACACGACGACGATGATGATGCTGCTGCTGCTGGTGAGGATTGCGATGATCCCGCTGCTGCTGCTGGTGAGGATTGCGACGACGGTGATGATGATGCTGCTGGTGGTGAGGATTGCGACGACGACGATGATGATGCTGCTGCTGCTGCTGGTGGTGAGGATTGCGATGACGGTGATGATGATGAAAGCGAAGATGATAATACGATGATGATGAATGTCACGATGATGACGGTGATAAATGTTGGACGAGCGCGCGTGGTGGAATGCGTTACCCGTGAACACGATTCCGTCCCACGCGGGAATGGGGGGCGGGGCAAAGGGGAACCGAGCCCCTCCCCTCGGTGCCCCCCCCACCCCCCTCTTGCCCCCCCTCCCCTTATAGGGCCGCGCCCTAACTTGGGAAGCGCTTGTGCAGCACTCAAGGACGAGGAGGAGGAGGAGGGGATGCGAGCACAGTGGGGACCCGAGGGTTGAGGGATCTCGAGGGGATCTCGAAGGGATCTCGGAATTACTGGGGTCGCGAGCGGAGAGGGGACTTTGAGAATAGGGAAGTCCCCAAGAGGGTGACTGCTTGTTTTTAGGACAGGGACTGGGAGAGATATTCTGAGCACCTGAGGAGAACGCGGGGAGAGACTCGGAGAGACTCGGGGCGATTGAGGAAAATTCGTAGACACTCGGAGAGGCTGAGGGAAACTCAGGGAGACTCAGGGAGACAAGAGAGAATCAGGGTGACTGAGGGAGACTGAGGGAGACTCAGGTCGATTGAGGGCAACTCAAAGAGAATCAGAGAGACTGAGGGAGACTCGGGGAGACTGAGAGAATCAGGGAGACTTCGGGGAGACTGAGAGAGACTCAGGGAGACTCAGAGAGATTGAGGGATACTCAAGGAGGCTAAGGGAGGCTGAGGGAGACTCGGGAAGACTGAGAGCGATTCAGGGAGACTGAGATAAATTCATAGACACTCGGAGAGGCTGAGCGACACTCAGAGAGACTTAGGGAGACTCGCTGGGAGCTATGGTGGTGGAACGGCGCTTCAGACTCGACGCGGACATAAGTTTTGCGAACTATGCGCGCAGCCAAGGTGAGGACTCGTGGGGACACGCACAGACACTATTTAGTTGCGAAACATGTTTCACATGCGGGCGCCACGCTGTCGAGATGTTAACTACATCACCTGGTATACAGGAAGTCGTGTGTTCGATCCCGACCCTGACGCCTGCTGCTGTATATTTGGAATTTGCGGTGTCTTTCTCGCCGTGGTCGCGTGGATTTTTCACCGCGTGCTCCGATTTTTCCCTCCACATTTTGAATCAACACCATCACGCGTTTAGAGTGTTTGACCACGGCTATAAATGTCCACGTGATGAGCCACTTCGTTGCGCGATCATTTGTGGTAGCCAGGTCGCTTCTGACACAGAGCGACACAGCTTCATGAACCTTACCTGGTAAAATAGCGAAAAATAGTTTATACTTTATAGGTGGTACCGACAGGTGGGTTACCACCCCAAGTGGCACCCTGAGGTGAGACATCCGCTCTGGGCTTATGGGACCATGAAGAGCGGGTTCTGAGATTCCCATGGCTGCACTACAGAGACTCGCGGGACTCGGGAATCATTCATACATACGGGCCACACACAGGTGAGGAGTACCTGTGTGTGTGAGTGAGACACAGGTGAGGAGTACCTGTGTGTGTGAGTGAGACACAGGTGAGGAGTACCTGTGTGTGTGAGTGAGACACAGGTGAGGACTACCTGTGTGTGAGTGTGTGAGACACAGGTGAGGACTACCTGTGTGTGTGTGAGTGAGCCACAGGTGAGGACTACCTGTGTGAGTGTGAGTGAGACACAGGTGAGGACTACCTGTGTGTGAGTGTGTGAGACACAGGTGAGGACTACCTGTGTGAGTGAGTGAGACAGGTGAGGACTACCTGTGTGTGAGTGAGACACAGGTGAGGACTACCTGTGTGTGTGAGTGAGACACAGGTGAGGACTACCTGTGTGAGTGTGAGTGAGACACAGGTGAGGACTACCTCTGTGTGTGAGTGTGTGAGACACAGGTGAGGACTACCTGTGTGTGTGAGTGAGACACAGGTGATGACTACCTGTGTGTGTGAATGAGACACAGGTGAGGACTACCTGTGAGTGAGACACAGGTGAGGACTACCTGTGTGAGTGAGTGAGACACAGGTGAGGACTACCTGTGTGTGTGAGTGAGACACAGGTGAGGACTACCTGTGTGTGTGAGTGAGACACAGGTGAGGACTACCTGTGTGAGTGAGACACAGGTGAGGACTACCTGTGAGTGAGACACAGGTGAGGACTACCTGTGTGTGTGTGAGACACAGGTGAAGACTACCTGTGTGTATGAGTGAGACACAGGTTAATACTACCTGTGTGTGTGAGTGAGACACAGGTGAGGACTACATGTGTGTATGAGTGAGACACAGGTTAAGACTACCTGTGTGTGTGAGTGAGACACAGGTGAAGACTATCTGTGTGAGTGAGACACAGGTGAGGACTACCTGTGCGAGTGAGTGAGACACAGGTGAGGACTACCTGTCTGTGTGAGTGAGACACAGGTGAGGACTACCTGTGCGTGTGAGTGAGACACAGGCGAGGACTACATGTGTGTATGAGTGAGACACAGGTGAGGACTACCTGTGTGAGTGAGTGAGACACAGGTGAGGACTACCTGTTTGAGTGAGTGACACACAGGTGAAGACTACCTGTGTGTGTGAGACACAGGTGAGGACTACCTGTGAGTGAGACACAGGTGAGGACTACCTGTGTGAGTGAGTGAGACACAGGTGAGGACTACCTGTGTGTGTGAGTGAGACACAGGTGAGGACTACCTGTGAGTGAGTGAGACACAGGTGAGGACTATCTGTCTGTGTGAGGGAGACACAGGTGAAGACTACCTGTGTGAGTGAGACACAGGGGAGGACTACCTGTGTGAGTGAGTGAGTGAGACACAGGTGAGGACTACCTGTGTGAGTGAGTGAGTGAGACACAGGTGAGGACTACCTGTGCGTGTGAGTGAGACACAGGCGAGGGCTACATGTGTGTATGAGTGAGACACAGGTGAGGACTACCTGTGTGAGTGAGTGAGACACAGGTGAGGACTACCTGTTTGAGTGAGTGAGACACAGGTGAAGACTACCTGTGTGTGTGAGACACAGGTGAGGACTACCTGTGAGTGAGACACAGGTGAGGACTACCTGTGTGAGTGAGTGAGACACAGGTGAGGACTACCTGTGTGTGTGAGTGAGACACAGGTGAGGACTACCTGTGAGTGAGTGAGACACAGGTGAGGACTATCTGTCTGTGTGAGGGAGACACAGGTGAAGACTACCTGTGTGAGTGAGACACAGGGGAGGACTACCTGTGTGAGTGAGTGAGTGAGACACAGGTGAGGACTACCTGTGTGAGTGAGTGAGACACAGGTGAGGACTACCTGTGTGAGTGAGTGAGACACAGGTGAGGACTACCTGTGTGTGTGTGAGACACAAGTGAGGACAACCTGTGTGAGTGAGACACAGGTGAGGACTACCTGTGTGTGTGTGAGTGAGACACAGGTGAGGACTACCTGTGTGTGTGTGTGAGTGAGACACAGGTGAGGACTACCTGCGTGAATGAGACACAGGTGAGGACCACCTGTGTGTGTGAGTGAGACACAGGTGAAGACTACCTGTGTGAGTGAGACACAGGTGAGGACTACCTGTGTGTGTGAGACACAGGTGAAGATTACCTGTGTGTGTGAGACACAGGTGAGGACTACCTGTGTGAGTGAGTGAGACACAGGTGAGGACTACCTGTGTGTGTGTGTGTGAGACACAGGTGAGGACTACCTGTGTGAATGAGACACAGGTGAGGACTACCTGTGTGTGTGAGACACAGGTGAGGACTACCTGTGTGTGTGTGAGTGAGACACAGGTGGGGGGTAGGGAGGTGGGGGGTTGGGCGCGTGGGCAGGAGGCGTCACGTGACGCGCGGCGTTTGGTTGCCAGGGGCAACGGAAAAACAGCAAAGAACTCCAAGGCTCAAGACTCCAAGAACCCCTCAAGTCTCCGTGAGATTCCCAGAGACCCCCTAGAGACCCCCATAGCCCCTTAAAAATCCCAGACACCCCTGTAAGATCCACATACATCACAGAGACCCCTAGAGAACCCCTCCAGTTCCTGGGCTATCCCTGTAGATCCCTAGAGATCCTGAGAGACTCCCGGAGACCCCCAACGTTCCAAGACGGCCCTGATGATTTCCAGAGAACCACGAGCCGGCGGGATATCCCTACAGACCCCCAAATGATCCCTCTAGTCTCCAGAGACTATGAATAACCCCTCGTAGCACACGGGAGACCCCTTGGTACTGTTTTAAGACCCCCCCCCCCCTCCACCATCCCAAAGAAACCGAGAGACTTATAGAGTACCCCCCCAGATCATTTTGCATACCCCCAGCTCCCAGAAACCCACAGAGGCCCAAAGAACCCGACAGCCCCCTCGCTCTCCCCCCCCCCCCTCACCCCCCGAAAAAAAACTAAACGAGACCCCTAGGAGACCCCGGGAGTTTACCGCTCGGGTGACGCAATGCCGGGGCCTGGGTGACCCGAGAGCCCCTCACGGCCCTGAGCGGACGGGGTCATGAACGTGCTGCAAGGTGAGGAGCCTCACCTGGTGAGGGGTTCACCCGGTGAGGGGTTCACCCGGTGAGGGGTTCACCCGGTGAGGGGGTCACCCGGTGAAGGGGCTCACCTGGTGAGGGGAGTCACCCGGTGAGGGGGTCACCCGGTGAAGGGGCTCACCTGGTGAGGGGCTCACCTGGTGAGGGGTTCACCCGGTGAGGGGCTCACCCGGTGAGGCGGCTCACCTGGTGAGGAGCCTCACCTGGTGAGGGGTTCAGCCGGTGAGGGGTTCACCCGGTGAGGGGGCTCACCTGGTGAAGGGTTCAGCCGGTGAGGCGGCTCACCTGGTGAGGGGACTCACCCGGTGAGGGGACTCACCTGGTGAGGGGACTCACCTGGTGAGGGGTTTTACCTGGTGAGGGGACTCACCTGGTGAGGGGACTCACCTGGTGAGGGGCTCACCTGGTGAGGGGCTCACCCGGTGAGGGGCTCACCTGGTGAGGGATTCACCTGGTGAGGGATTCACCTGGTGAGGGGCTCACCTGGTGAGGGGCTCACCTGGTGAGGGATTCACCTGGTGAGGGGCTCACCTGGTGAGGGACTCACCCGGTGAGGGGCTCACCTGGTGAGGGGCTCACCTGGTGAGGGGTTCACCTGGTGAGGGGGCTCACCTGGTGAGGGGTTCACCCGGTGAGGGGACTCACCTGGTGAGGAGTTTTACCTGGTGAGGGGCTCACCTGGTGAGGGGTTCACCTTGTAAAGGGTTTCACCTGGTTAGGCGGTCACACCTACGGCCACAGCTGTTTGCATAACGCTGCTTCTGAAACTCGTGATAATTGTTAATGATGATGACGACAGTGTTACTGATGGTAGTGCTGCTGCTGCTGTTTCTGTTGATGTAGATAATGTTTCTGCTGCTGATGATGATGATGTGTGAGTGAGTGAAACAGACACATACTCGTCACCTGTGTTTGCCTCATACAGGTATGATGATGATGTTGTTGAAGCTGCTGCTGCTTCTGCTGCTGATGCAACTGATATTGCTGCTTCTGATAATGCCTATGATGTTGATATTGCTGCTGATGATCCCCATGATGCAGATGATGTTTATTCTGCTGCTGATGATGATAATAGTGCCGCTGATGATGATAGTGCCGCTGATGATGTTGCTGTCGCCTGATGAAGCTAGGTATAATTACTGGCGAAACGTCGTACTCAGATTGTAAATGTTGTGGCTTTGCTCTCTAACACACAACCGGTGTACTGTACAAGTAACAAATTGGCATATTCTGTTTACGTGACAAACCTTACTAATTGGCTGTGTCAGGTGGTGGCGGGTTTAACGACACACTCATGTTGCTGATGATGATGTTGCATGATGATGATGCTGATTATGATGATGCTGATGATGTTGCTGCTGATGATGTTGCTGATGCTGATGCTGCTGCTGCTGATGATGCTGCTGGTGATGATGATTATGATCATGCTGATGATGATGTTGCTGATGATGATGTTGCTGATGACGATGTTGCTGATGATGCTGCTGCTGATGGTGGTGTTGCTGATGATTATTTTGCAGATGATGATGTTGCTGATGATGATGTTGCTGATGATGCTGCTGATGCTGCTGCTGCTGATGATGATGCTGCTGGTGATGATGATTATGATCATGCTGATGATGATGTTGCTGATGGTGATATCACAGATTACCGGCTGCTGGGACGCAAGGGCGAGGGAACCTTTTCGGAGGTCCTCAAGTGCCAGAGTCTGCGCGACGGCGCCTACTACGCCTGCAAGCGACTCAAGCAGCGATACGACAGGCGAGACTCTCTCACCTCCTCACCCACCCACTCAGCCACTCACACACCCACTCAGCCACTCACTCAACCAGCCACTCCCTCACTCATTCACCTACTTGCCCACTCACTCACCCACTCACTCAACGAGCCACTCCCTCCCTCACTCACCCACTCACTCACTCAATCAGCCACTCCCTCACTCACTCAATCAGCCACTCCCTCACTCACTCACTTACCCACTCACTTACTTACCCACTCAATCAGCCATGCACTCACCCACTCACTCCCCAACTTGCCCACTCACTCACCCAGCCACCCACTTGCTCACTCAATCAGCCACTCACTCACTCATTCAACCACTCATTCACTCACCCATTCGCTTACCCACTCAATCAGACACTCCCTCATCCATTCACTCACCCACTCACTTACCCACTCAATCAGCTACGCACTCACCCATTCACTAATTCACTCACTAATGTACCTACTCACTCATTCAATCTATTCACCCACTCACTCGCCTAATCGGCAAATCTGTCACCTGCTGACTCACCCACTCACTCACCCAATTACCCACTCACTACCTAACCCACCCAGTCGCTCACTCAATCACCTACTCACCGACTCACTCACCCGTGCGCTCTCCTGCTCGGCACCCCGCTCCCGGCTGCTCCCTGTGCAGCCAGGAGAGTGTGAACGGCCTGCGCGAGGTGCAGGCCATGCGACGCCTCGGCTCCCACCCCAACATCGTGCAGCTGCACGAGGTTCTCTAGTGAGTAGCCATCCTCACCACATCATTATGTCAGCATCCTTCATCATCATAATCCATCATCATCATCCATCATCATCACATCATCTCACCTTATCATGACCCTTCACCAGCCATCCTCACATACTCCCTTCACTGCATCTCTAAACACATTGAGTGACTTGTACAGATGCTTGCCTACGCCGTACCTCTGTGACAATTATGTATTTAAGCGTACACGTGGCTCCTGCGTGTCACCTGAGTGCCTGCACGCATCACCTGCATGTAACCTGTGTTACTCTTGTTACCTGTGTCACTGGTATGACTGTGTGTCACCTGCCTGTCGACTGTGCCACTCCGGTTACCCGCGTGTCACCCGTGCGTCTGCGCGTGTCACCCGTGCGTCTGCGCGTGTTACGTGTTCTCTGGCAGCGATAAGAAGTCGGGGACCCTGGCGCTGATCTGTGAACTCATGGACATGAACATGTACGAGCTGATCCGAGGTGAGCCACTCACTCACCCATCACTCACCGCTACCCATTACGTACCACTCATCCACTCACTCACCACTAACTTACCATGACCGCTCACTCGGATTTAATATCAGTCGGGGGAGGGGGGTCTATTTGGGTCAGGCGACCTGGGGGAAATGTCCTTGCCCTGCACACCACATCCAGTATACCTCTCGTTATAGTTGTGGCTGGCAGTCACGTGTCGTCTACTACAATCAACCAACCAGTGGCTCGGAAAAATATTCAATTAAAAAAATGTATCCTTGCTCCTCCCCATCTACCCCCCCACCCCCTCCCCCGTCCCCACTCTCTCCCACCCCTCACCTTCAGATCGGAGAAACTTCTTGCCAGAAGGGAGGATTCGCAGCTACATGCAGCAGCTGTGCCGCTCTCTTGACTACATGCACAGGTGAGCACAGGTAGCCACGCACAGGTGAGCACAGGTGAGTGAGCTTAGGTGAGCACAAGTGAGTACACACAAGTATGGGCACAGGTGAGCGTTTGGCAGTGCACAAAGGATAACATAAAATTGCACAGGTGAGCATAGGTGATCATGCACAGGTGAGCGGCACAGGTAATGATTCACAGGTGAGCGAGGACAGTTGAGTTAACTTAATTGAAAATGCACAAGTGAGCACAGGTAACTATAGGTGAGCACATACAGATGAGCACAGGTGATCCCCCTACTCGACCAGGCACTCACATCATTCACTCTCCTCTGCCCCCTGCTCCTCCTCCACTCCCATGCCCCTTGAAGGAACGGCATCTTCCACCGCGACGTGAAGCCAGAGAACATCCTCATCAAGGTGAGGCACGGACACTCGCGCACATTTAACGCCGTGGCCTCACGGCAGCTGTTGATGACGGCGGTCCGGGCCAAGCTGAGCGAGCTCCTTTAGGGGGGCGAACTAGGGGGTAAGGGGGGGGGCATTACGGCTCGGGTACGGCCCCCCTGGCTCTCGCTTCCTCGTTGGGGTAATGCTGGGGTCGCGTCCGACGTTGGGGTTATGTTGATTTTTGTGTTGTCGGGGTCACGTCGGGGTCATGTCAGGGTCATGTTGGAGTCACGTTGGGGTTGCGTCCGGATCACCTTAGGGTCTTGTTGGGGTCATGCTTGGGGTCATGCTTGGGGTCATGCTGGGGTCATGTCCAATGTTGGGATTTTGTTGATATTTTTTTTGTTGAGCGTCGGGGTCACGCCGGGGTCCCGCCGGTGTCACGCCGGGGTCACGCTGGGGTCGTGTCGGGGTCACGCCGGGGTCCCGTCGGTGTCACGCCAGGGTCGTGTCGGGGTCGCGCCGGGGTCACGCTGGGGTCGTGTCGGGGTCACGCCGGGGTCGTGTCGGGGTCACGCCGGGGTCACGCTGGGGTCGTGTCGGGGTCGCGCCGGGGTCCCGTCGGTGTCACGCCGGGGTCGTGTCAGGATCGCGCCGGGGTCACGCTGGGGTCGTGTCGGGGTCGCGCCGGGGTCCCACCGGGGTCACGCCGGGGTCATGTCGGGGTCACGCCGGGGTCGAGTCGGGTTCATGCTGGGGTTGCCACGTCGTCGGGGTCATGCTGGGGTCGTGTCGGGCAGCAGAACGAGGTGCTGAAGCTGGCAGACTTCGGTTCATGCAAGAGCGCGTTCGCGCGGCCGCCCTTCACGGAGTACATCTCGACGCGCTGGTACCGCGCGCCCGAGTGCCTCCTCACCGACGGACACTACGGCCTCGCCATGGACGTGTGGAGCGCCGGCTGCGTCTTCTACGAGATCACCAGGTGAGCCGCGTGGCACACAGCTGCACAGAGACGAAGATCTCCCGCCTATAGACGTCAACAGACTGTTGGGGGCGAGTGCGGTGAGCGTGCACCTGTGAAGGCTGGTACGGCACACGAGTTGGTGGGTGGTCAGCACCACGCCCGGCCGCCTTTGTCTCCCCAGTGGCAATTTTTACACATCAGGTACTCATTTGAGGCTGAGTCGACCTAGGGGACGCCCAGGACCAGTTCAGATAATCATCACTGATGTTGGTCGTGAGACCAACATCAGTGCACTACTGCTCACCAGTAACGCACACACCTGTACTCACACACACACCTTGACAGCGCCACACCTGTACACACGTTTACCTGTATGCAAACACACCTGTACCCAAGTATACCTCTACATTTGAACACGTCGGCTTTCGCGACGAATATTATCGATAATAAAGGTTTTTTGGGGGGTTAGATCTACATGCACACACTTGCATTCACACACACCTGTACTCGCATACAGAGACACCCCGTATAGCCTTAACAGACTGTTGGAGCAAGTGCTGTTAGCGAGCACCTATAAAGGCTGATACAGCACACGAAGGGGTGGGTGGCCAGCACCACGCCCGGCCGTCTTTGTCTCCCCAGTAGCGATGTTTACTGCACACCGCACCAGGTACTCATTTGAGGCTGAGTCGAACTAGGGGAGGCCCGGGACCGGTTCAGATAATCGTCACTGGTGGTGGCCATGAGCGGGAATCGAACTCGGGTTGCCAGGTTCGTAGAGCAGCACGCTAACCGCCACACCACCGCTCCCCACACACACACTCTGCCATGTACTCCTCCTCAGTCTGCAGCCGCTCTTCCCGGGAGCGAACGAGGTGGATCAGATCTCAAAGATCCATGAGGTCCTGGGAACTCCTACCGCTGCCCTGCTCAACAAGATGAGGAGGTGAGCGCCTCGTGCACAAGCCCGACCCCCCCACCCGAGCCTCGTCCCCCGCACCTCTCAAAGAGGTGGGGGGGGGGGCACCTGAATTGCTTACATGTTGACGATATCTCAAGCGTGTGCCACCTGCGCACGTCCGTGACGCGTACCATCACGAAGTGCACGTGTGCGACCTGTGATTGGTTGTTACGATCCGAGACAAGGGGGGGGGGGGGTATAGGCTAGGCGGTAAAGGGAGCGTGGCTAGACTATGTAGCCACGCCCCGACACCACCACGCCCCTCGTCACGCAACTACTCGCCGAGATGTGGACAAAGGAGTTGCAGACGGCGTCAAGTGACCGCGATGATTTGAGGGCGAGTTTTGATTACCCAGCAGGTCGCAGAGATGTGGACCCGGCCTCAAGGCCCAACCCCTCAGCAGCAACAACAACAACAACATTATTTCTGATAGCGGATTTTTTCAGTGGTGGCACGACCTAACAAAGCACTAAACGACCCAGTCGTAATCCCGAGTCACGATAACACAGAACAATTAAGCGATTAGCACCGGCTAAATAAATCGCACGGAACAGGTTGTGATGTATACGCGGACTTTGAGCAGCGGCGTTGGCCATGCAGGGTGCGGGCGGTGCAACCAAAGTGACTGTTCCATCTGCACTGTGTTCAACCACAACACTGCAGATCACTCATCCACCCACTCGCCCCTTCACTCACTTACAACCCCACTCACCACACTGCAAGTCACGGCACTTCTCGTTCTCCCTCCTCCCTCGCACCGTTCCACTGTGTATTCCCCTCCTCCCGTCATCGTCGTCGGCGTCGTCTGTTCTCCCCAAGCTCTTACAACAATATCCCGGCTCAAATCAAGAAACGTGTTCCACACCCTTATCTACTACAACTTTGATAATAGTGCTGTTTGCTGCTGGCTGCTTGGCGTTGTGAGCTTTTGGACTTTGTACTCCTCACCAATAAACTGCACTGGGACCCCCACGGTCGCTGGGCTCGCAGGAGGGTGGTGGTGGGGTGGCATAGGATGGGGGTAGGGGAAGGAGATGGGTCGGGGGGTAAGGTGGGGGCCCAGCCGGGCCCTATTTGATTCCTTACACCAGGGCCCATACCGGCCACGCTGAATCGGGGAATCTTAGCGAGCCCACGGGGTTAACAAGGAGGAGGTTCCATCACCGTGAGTGCTCACGTTATCTATGTGTTAGTTTAACGGGCTGAGAACGGTGCGCTTGATTTATAACTCTGTCAGTTGGCTCAATTAGCGCCGTGTCTTGTTTACAGAGTAAACGGCGTTCAGTTATCTCTGAACTAAATGTGTTGCTGCAGGGTTATAGGTCGAGTCAGGTGATTTATGTCACGCGTATCTGACAATCCTGTCGGATCGTGGAGGGCTGATGCCAAGGATTTCGGCATAAAAACTACCACGTGGCCTCACCCAAAAAAACACAAATATGGATTCATAGAATTATCTATGATTTGTCGTTGATTGGTCTTCATTTTGCTGCATTGTTGTACAACTTGTATGTTGTGCTGTATTGCATTATATTTCTAAGTTTCCTAGGTTTGTTTTCTCTTTCATTTGTACCTGATGATGATTGCTTGTGTTGCAATCGAAACGTCGTATGCTATTATTTCAATATTTTTTCTTTCTACGTGACCTTACCGAAATAACCACGGAGTTTACGATATTTATTTTGTCATTTTGGTGACCCCGGTCGGTCAGTCCACTCGTCGACTCCGCGGGTCTCTTGAGTTCTCACCCGGGTGAAACTAAATACACGTGAATGTTGAAACTTGACCTGGGGATGCGAGGAGACAGGAGCTCAGTCCCGGGCGAGAGAGAGATACGCGTGAGCCACAAGAAGAGAGCTTGATGACAGACGGCTCAAAAGCAGAAGCCACAGGGCGGCACGATCCCTGTCACGTGGACCGCTCTTGAGACGCGGCGCTGCGTTCTGTTGTTATTGTTATGTTTTATTGACTTGTTTTGCTTTTCCCACTTACTCTGTGCTGTGTTTCCTGAAACGTATTCGTTTTCGACGCATTTCTCAATCGCGTTACCTGTGCGCGTGTCTACGTGGGGTCTGTCGCGTGGGGGGGGGGGGGCGTAGCGGTTAGCGCGACGCTGCGCTCCGAACCTGGCCACCAGAATTAAATTCCTGCTCACGGCCAACACCGGTGGCGATTATCTGAACGGGTCCTGGGCCGCCCCTAGGTCGACTCAGCCTCAAATTAGTACCTGGTGCGATGCGTAAACATCGCCACTAGGGAGACAAAGGCGGTCGGGCGTGGTGTTGGTCACCCGCCCCCTCGTGTGCTTTGCCGGCCTTCATAGGTTGCTCCCTAACAGCACTTGCCCCAACAGCTGTGTCTGTGTGCACTCCATAACAATAGCTGTGTCTGTGTGCACTCCGCAACATTAGCTGTGTCTGTGTGCACTCCATAACAATAGCTGTGTCTGTGTGCACTCCATAACAATAGCTGTGTCTGTGTGCACTCCATAACAATAGCTGTGTCTGTGTGCACTCCACAACAATAGCTGTGTCTGTGTGCACTCCATAACAATAGCTGTGTCTGTGTGCACTCCGTAAGAATAGCTGTGTGTGTGCACCCCATTACAATAGCTGTATCTGTATGTACTCCACAACAATAGCTGTGTCTATGTGCACTCCATAACAATAGCTGTGTCTGTGTGCACTCCATAACAATAGCTGTGTCTGTGTGCACTCCATAACAATAGCTGTGTGCACTCCATAACAATAGCTGTGTCTATGTGCACTCCGTAATAACAGCTGTGGCTGTGTGCACTCCATAACAATAGCTGTGTCTGTGTGCACTCCGCAACAGTAGCTGTGTCTGTGTGCACTCCATAACATTACCTGTGTCTGTGTGCACTCCATAACAATAGCTGTGTCTGTGTGCACTCCATAACAATAGCTGTGTCTGTGTGCACTCAACAACAATAGCTGTGTCTGTGTGCACTCCATAACAATAGCTGTGTCTGTGTGCACTTCGTAACAATAGCTGTGTGTGTGCACCCCATAACAATAGCTGTATCTGTATGCACTCCACAACAATAGCTGTGTCTATGTGCACTCCATAACAATAGCTGTGTCTGTGTGCACTCCATAATAATAGCTGTCTCTGTGTGCACTCCATAATAATAGCTGTGTCTGTGTGCACTCCGCAACAGTAGCTGTGTCTGTGTGCACTCTATAACAATAGCTGTGTCTATATGCACTCCATAACAATAGCTGTGTCTGTGTGCACTCCATAACAATAGCTGTGTCTGTGTGCACTCCATAACAATAGCTGTGTCTGTGTGCACTCCATAACAAGAGCTGTATGTGTGCACTCCATAACAATAGCTGTGTCTGTGTGCACTCCATAACAATAGCTGTGTCTGTGTGCACTCCATAACAATAGCTGTGTCTGTGTGCACTCCATAACAATAGCTGTCTGTGTGCACTCCATAACAATAGTTGTGTCTGTGTGCACTCCATAACAATAGCTGTGTGCACTCCACAACAATAGCTGTGTCTGTGTGCACTCCATAACAATAGCTGTGTCTGTGTGCACTCCACAACAATAGATGTGTCTGTGTGCACTCCATAACAATAGCTGTGTGCACTCCATAACAATAGCTGTGTCTGTGTGCACTCCATAACAATAGCTGTGTCTGTGTGCACTCCATAACAATAGATGCGTCTGTGTGCACTCCATAACAATAGTTGTGTCCACTACATAATAATAGCTGTGTCTGTGTGCACTCCGTAACAATAGCTGTGTCTGTGTGCACTCCATAATAATAGCTGTGTCTGTGTGCACCCCGTAACAATAGCTGTGTCTGTGTGCACTCCATAACAATAGCTGTGTGCACTCCATAATAATAGTTGTGTCTGTGTGCACTCCATAACAATAGCTGTGTCTGTGTGCACTCCATAACAATAGCTGTGTCTGTGTGCACTCCATAATAATAGTTGTGTCTGTGTGCACTCCATAACAATAGTTCAGCATGTGTGCGTGTGCCGGCCTTCATAGGTGGTTGCTAACAGCACTTGCCCCAAAAGTACGTGAAGGTTATATGGGGGAATCTTTGTCTGCCTAGTCTATAATAGTAGTTGTGTGTGTACTCTATGAAAATAGATTGCATGTCTATCTGTGTATATTGGATAACAAAAGCAGTACTGTATATGTACACAATATTATTTTATTATTGTATTAACATTCCGCTTGTTTCCCCAAGAAAGCCTTACTGGGGTCTCACCTCTATTTCAGGATGGTTCTGCAAAGTGTTGGCAGGTGGGGGAGGGGGTGGAACGGGTGGAACGGGTGGAGGGGGTGGAGGGGGTGGGGATGGAGGGGGGGGGTGGAGGGGTGATGTTGAAGCTGTGCGTGATCCCAAAGTTAGTAATGTTCAGGTGACGTTTCCAGCATTGGGATGTTTCGGCCAATACCAGCGCTACTGTTTGTCTTCTCAACTACAGTGAGGGAAAAAAGTATTTGATCCCCTGCTGATTTTGTACGTTTGCCCACTGACAAATAAATGATCAGTCTATAATTTTAATGGTAGGTTTATTTGAACAGTGAGAGACAGAATAACAATAAGAAAATCCAGAAAAACGCATGTCAAAAATGTTATAAATTGATGAGGGAAATAAGTACTTGAACCCCTCTAAATCAGAAAGATTTCTGGCTCCCAGGTGTCTTTTATACAGGTAACGAGCTGAGATTAGAAGCACACTCTTAAAGGGAGTGCTCCTAATCTCAGCTTGTTACCTATATAAAAGACACCTGTCCACAGAAGCAATCAATCAATCAGATTCCAAACTCTCCACCATGGCCAAGACCAAAGAGCTCTCCAAGGAAGTCAGGGACAAGATTGTCGACCTACACAAGGCTGGAATGGGCTACAAGACCATTTCTAGATTTAAAGCTTTTGTGACTGCAAGGATCCATACTCTTTGGTTCTATTCGGTAAAGTCACGTAGGTAAAAAAATAAAACAACAAAAAATCACGACGTTTCGGCCACAACACAAGCGGCCTTCATCAGGTGAAGGGATCAGGCTGTCTCGAGGACAGCGCTGGAGTGGAACACAGCCACGCTCAGACCGCGACCTTTAAGCTGTGTGCGAGGAAACAAGGTGCCTTGACAAAGGAATTAGCATAAAAAACTAGCATTTGATTGCCCGACTTAGCATAGAAGTGGTGTACATGCACGTGCACATGCCGGTTGGCGCGGGGGGGGGGGGGGGGAGTTTCCCTATTGATGGTGTGAAAAGGGAATTTAAGAGCTGCGAAAGTTTGGGGTACCACTACTTGAAAAATATACTGTACCATTGAAAATTAGTTTAATGTTTGGTTCGATTTAGAACATCTTTCCAATGGTTGCTTATTTTGAAACCATCTTCTCGGTTGAAATTGTGTCTGTGCTTGTAGATCTGAATTGCCTCGTGAACAAATCTCTGATAAAAACCCACCATCAATATGAAAAATCCCCCCCCCCCCCCCCCCCGTACCAACCGGCATGTGCACTTGCATGTACACCACTTCTATGCTAAGTCGGGCAATCAAATGCTAATTTTTTATGCTAATTCCTTTGTCAAGGCACCTTGTTTCCTCGCACACAGCTTAAAGGTTGCGGTCTGAGCGTGGCTGTGTTCCACTCCAGCGCTGTCCTCGAGACAGCCTGATCCCTTCACCTGATGAAGGCCGCTTGTGTTGTGGCCGAAACGTCGTGATTTTTTGTTGTTTTATTTTTTACCTACGTGACTTTACCGAATAGAACCAAAGAGTATACAAGACCATTGCCAAATAGCTTGGTGAGAAGGTGATAACAGTTGGTGCGATTATTCGCAAATTGAAGAAACACAAAAGAACTGTCAATCTCCCTCGGCCTGGGGCTACATGCAAGATCTCACCTCGTGGAGTTGCAATGATCATGAGAACGGTGAGGAATCAGCCCAGAACTACACGGGAGGATCTTGTCAATGATCTCAAGGCAGCTGGGACCATAGTCACCAAGAAAACAATTGGTAACACACTACGCCGTGAAGGCCTGAAATCCTGCAGCGCCCGCAAGGTCCCCCTGCTCAAGAAAGCACATATACATGCCCGTCTGAAGTTTACCAATGAACATCTGAATGATTCAGAGGACAACTGGGTGAAAGTGTTGTGGTCAGATGAGACCAAAATGGAGCTCTTTGGCATCAACTCAACTCGCCGTGTTTGGAGGAGGAGGAATGCTGCCTATGACCCCAAGAACACCATCCCCACCGTCAAACATGGAGGTGGAAACATTATGCTTTGGGGGTGTTTTTCTGCTAAGGGGACAGGACAACTTTACCGCATCAAAGGGACGATGGACGGGGCCATGTACCGTCAAATCTTTGGTGAGAACCTACTTCCCTCAGCCAGGGCATTGAAAATGGGTCGTGGATGGGTATTCCAGCATGACAATGACCCAAAACACACGGCCAAAGCAACAAAGGAGTGACTCAAGAAGAAGCACATTAAGGTCCTGGAGTGGCCTAGCCAGTCTCCAGACCTTAATCCCATAGAAAATCTGTGGAGGGAGCTGAAGGTTCGAGTTGCCAAACGCAGCCTCGAAACCTTAATGACTTGGAGCAGATCTGCAAAGAGGAGTGGGACAAAATCCCTCCTGAGATGTGTGCAAACCTGGTGGCCAACTACAAGAAACGTCTGACCTCTGTGATTGCCAACAAGGGTTTTGCCACCAAGTACTAAGTCATGTTTTGCAGAGGGGTCAAATACCTATTTCCCTCATTAAAATGCAAATCAATTTATAACATTTTTGACATGCGTTTTTCTGGATGTTGTTGTTGTTATTCTGTCTCTCACTGTTCAAATAAACCTACCATTAAAATTATAGACTGATCATTTCTTTGTCAGTGGGCAAACGTACAAAATCAGCAGGGGATCAAATACTTTTTTCCCCTCACTGTATGGTAGGAAACAGGAGAACCCGGAGGAAGCCCATGCAGAACAAGGGGGGTGGGTGGTGGAGGCCAGAACATACAAACTCCACACAGACAGGCGTCCTAGTTGGGCACCGAACCCAGGCTACTCCAGCTGTGAGGCACGAGTGGTCCCCCGCTGCGCTGCCGCCCAGCTCTTCAACTCCTCTCGTCGATCTGGTGGCGCGCTGCCTGGCGCCCGTGTCGACGACCTCGGTTCACATTATCCTTGTTGCGCATCTCGTTATCTTCCTTGTCGCCGTGCACGTCGGGATTTACGTTCTGCTCGTAAAGTTCCGTTCGTCCTGGCAGAGAAATTTAGCGCAGCCAAGATTAAAAAAAAAGACAACCCCGGTAATGCTAGAGCGATGATGATAATAATAATGTTGTTTTGATTTAATGCTTTCGTGACTGCAGGGATTCATATTCTTGGTTCTTTCGGTAAAGTCACGTAGAAGGGAAACAATAAAATAATAAATAAAATATAAAACAATACAATTCTCACGACGTTTCGACTGCAACACAAGCAATCATCATAAGGTGTGGAAACCACAGCAAGAAAATTTGAGAAAAGGTAACATTTTGTTGCTGTGGTTTTAACACCTGATGATGATTGCTTGTGTTGCAGTAGAAACGTCGTGAGCATTTAATTGTTTTATATTTTTTTATTTTATTGTTTCCCTTCTACGTGACTTTACCGAAAGAACCAAGAATAATAATAATGTTGTTGTTGTAACGTCTGGCGCTGTCGTTCTTGGAGGACGCAGGACGATCAGCAGGAAAGGAAGGCGCTGCTGCGTTTGACAGACACAGCGTGTAGTAGCGTCACAGTAGTGGTGGGAGGGTGGTGGGGGGGGATTTCGCAGTGTGTAATCCTAATTGAGTCATTGGCTGACAATTTTTCAAGTCTGAATGAAGTCACTGGATCTTTAACATCCACTGCGAAGCAAATGGCGTAAATGTATCGAGTTAATTACACCTGCAGTGATAACCTGGGTGGCCTGCCAGATTTGACACGAATTCGATTCCTGCTCATGACCAGTTGCGAAATATCTTAACTGGTCCTGGGCCTCCCCTAGGTCGGCTTAGTCTTAATGAGTATCGGGTGCAGTGTGTAAAATAACGACACGGCGGAGACAGATGCAGTCGGGGGTTGTTCAGGCCACAACACCTCCGTGCTGTGCCATGCCGGCCCTCGGCAGCATTGGTTCAGGAGAGGCAAAACTCCAGAGCGGTTTCAACTCACAGTGTCTCATCAGCAGAATCGGGCTCGCTTGAATCAGTGATAGCGAACTGCCAGACCGTGAGTAACCGATTGGGTTGCGTAAGAAAAACACTTCATACATGTATTTACCTGGAGAGACAGATAAGTGAAGGAAACACAATGTTTTAGTTTGTTGTATTTCCCTAGCATGGTTGGCTACGTACGGTGCGAAAGAAGTTAAACATACACTCAAAAATAATTTTGTTAGCTCAAAAACATATCATCATTATTACCCCCCTGCTGTGTCTCTGGTCCGTGACCCCCCACCCCCTATACCCTCTTGCAGTAAGAGCCGTGGCCTGGGCCTGGAGTTCCCCTCCCAGAAGGGGTTGGGGCTGAGCCGGCTCGTGCCGCACGCCTCGGCCGAGGCCACGCAGCTCATGGCCGCCATGCTGACCTACGACCCCGAGGAGCGGCTCTCCGCCAAGGGGGCACTCCGGCACGCGTTCTTCACGGGCGTGCGCTCGGCGAGCCAGCCGGCGCAGATAGGGCACGGCTCACATCCATCGCGCAACATCGCTAACATCAAACTAACAGCGCACATCACACACACACACAGCGGTGAGCGAGCTAGCCGGCGCAGATAGAGCAGGGCTCACACCATCGCCAGCACCATCGCCAACATCATACAGGCAACATACATCACTCGCGCGCACACACACAGCTGTGATCAAGCGAGCTAGCCGGCGCAGATAGGGCACAGCTCACACAACTGCCAGCACCATCGCCAACATTATACTAACAACAGACATCATTCACACACACAGTGGTGAGCGAGCCGCAGCTAGGGCACGGCTTAACATCATCAGAAAACATCACTAAGATCCCATAACATCATCATACCATTACATAACATCATACCAACATCACCCATACATAGACACCATCACCACTCACTCACACGTGGCATGCGGGCTATATGATCCAGCGAATGCAGCCTCGCCTGCCAAAGGAGCTCACTGATTGGACGGTGTCCAGATCTGTCAAGGACCCGTAAAGTTCTCACACAATCCAGTCTGGTTAAACCCAAAATGGAACAAAGGCAGACCAGCCAGAATGTTTCCAGCCAGCGCAGCTGTTCCTGATCAGAGGACCCGTAGCTTTGTGTGTATACAGGTCAGGCAGCTTCCACACAGTGTTCTCTTGCACAAAAGACAAATACAAAGATTTCCCATATAGCCTTTACAGACTGTCGGGACAAGTGCTGTTAGCAAGCACCTCTGAAGGCTGGCACTGTGCACGAGGGGATGGGTGGCCAGGACAACGCCTTTGTTTTCCTAGTAACAATGATTTTACACACCAGACCAGATACTCATTTGAAGCTGAGTCGACTTAGGGGAGGCCCAGGACCGGCTCAGATAATCGTCACTGGTGCTGGCCATGAGCAAGAATCGAACTCGGGTCACTGGGTTCGTAGTGCAGCGCGCTAACCGTTGCATTACGGCTCCTTTCACAGAGGTACACACACGTAATGTACATACATACACAAACGCATGCATACTCATACCAACAACAACAAAAATCCTCCTATTGCCATGAAAACTGTTGGGGAAAGTGCCATGAAAACTGTTGGGGAAAGTGCTGTTAGTGAGCAATAATACACACTTATTCACACTCGCACACGTACACGCTCATACACTTACACACACACATCAACTACCTGCTGGAGGCAGGGCACCCTCCCTACCTCCCCCATCTCCCTCCCCGTGCCTCTCCTTGTGGGAGCCGCCCACGCAGAGAGCTCTTGGGGAGTGGAGCTGCAGCGTCCTCCTGGCAACGCTGGGGACTACAGCCCCCCCCCCCTCTCGTCTACCCAGCTCCTCCATCCACCCCAGCTCCCTAACCCTAGCCCCCCACCACAACTGCCCTGATCTCCTCCCCCCCTCCTCCTCCATGCCAGCGATCCACGTAACCACGGAGCCCTCCTCCCCTTGTCCCCTCTTACAGGGATCCGGAGCGCGGTCCCATGGGGGTCTACGGCCCCCTGTCCCCACTGGGACTCAAGGAGGACCCCCCGGCGAAAGCTGCGTCGCTCCCCTGGATCAGCGCCGCCAAACCCGTACCCCGCCGGGTGCGTGTGCACACGGGGCAGCATCTAAATCACACGTTATTTAAACGTTGAGTTGCATAACATTTCTAATTTATATCGATCTTACACAATCCAACGTGATTGGTAAGTGCATCTCAATCACATGAGATAGGGGGCTAAATTAAATTGCTTTGGCCATTTGTAATCGTTAAAGTATCTTGCCAATGTCTTATTTAAATCGGAACGTTGCGTATTTGTCTGGGAGAGACTCCTGTTCAGGAGGGCCCTGCCCTGCCCCGCACCTCCCATGAGCACGGTTGGCTACGTACGGCGCGAAAGAAGCTCAGCACATACACACGTACATGCTGCCACGTCTGGATGTTTAGACGATCCTTTGCAATGAGTGGTTTTACACGTGGGGAGAAAACTGGCGTGCCCGGAGAAACCCCCCCCCCCCACCGTGCAAACGAGGAGTCAGCAGCACTCGGAGGTCCGCACAGACGGATTCCACGAATCCCGCTTGCTGTGCTGCCACCTCCTCGTCTGAGATGGCCACAAGCAATATGAGGAGAGGAAGGGGAGAGTGCACTGGCCAACCACATGCTCTACCCACGTCGTCATCCACTTACTCTCCATCGCACTCACTCACGATCCCATCCACTCACTCACCCATCCACTCGCCCGCCTACCACCCACTACTTCACTCACTCGCCCACTCATTCACCCACTCACCTCTTCACTCGTCCAATAACCCATCCACCTACTGACTCACTCACCTACCCACTCACTCACCTACCCACCCACCTACTCAGTCACACACCATTGCGGTGTGTGTGGCCCATCTATGTGGAACTCACTTCCGGTCACTGTTTGGAATGTCACCAACTCGGAGCCAGCTCTGCAGTCGGCTCGAGTGAGAAGTGTTCCCCAGAGTTTACCAGCTGTAAACACGGCACCTTCGCGACAGCCCGGGTGCTCGAATCGCAAACGTACAAATACCGAGTATGAGACTTGTTCTTGAACTCACCGGGGTGAGCCGAAACAGTAATAATCAATTGGAACGTTTTCAAACGCTTGTAGACGTGACGATTTAATTTGTTTGGCTATGTCGGGTGGTGGAGGGTCTCACGACACAGATTTATCCGGATCATTCCGTTGCCGGACCCAAAAATCTATTTTGAACCAAAATAGCGGCTTCCAAAACCTGCGCGTTCGTTTCGCGCAAACACCACGAACCACCGCCACCACTCTGCGTCCCTCCGTCTCACCCACAACCACCCCCCAACATTCTCCAGCAGAAGCGGTTCCAGGCGCAGGGGGGGCTGGCCGTGCCGGTGTCGCACCCCCGCGGGGGGGGCGGCCCCCCCGAGAGCAGCTTTTCGTCGGCCTCCGCCTTCCACGGGCTGCCCCTGTCGCGCCTGCGCGTCGGGGGGGTCGCCCCCCCGCTGCGGCTGCCCCCGCTGCCCCCGCTGCACGCCTCGGGGTCGGGGATCCACCTCTCCACGCTGCAGGCGCAGGCGCGCAAGGTGAGCGAGGCGTGCGCGCAGCGGGGCTCCGGGGATTCCGGTGGCGAGTCGTTTTGACTCCACCGCGCAGGATGCAGGCGGTCTGCGAGATCGAGTTCGCGTGTTTCTCCGTCCCCGTGGATTTTTCTCCGGGTCCTCGCGCCACATTTAGACTCAACTTGCCTTTAACGAATTGTGGTGGCTGCTTAAAATGCCCACGTAATAAGTCACTTTGTTGAAGTGTCATTTGTGGCCAGGTCATTTCTGAAAAAGAGTTAATATACAGTAACTCAATGGGACTTACCTGGTAAAATTAAAATAGTTTATCATGAAGGCCTCCCCAAGCCAACGCCATCATTCGTCCCGGTCCTGTAAAGCATCGAACCGTTTAGGGCTCGCGTGGGAGCTGGCGTTTGTCGCTCCATCTCCGCATATGACGTCCTCCAGGGCACGTTTCTTGCTTTGGCCGCCACTCTGTTGTTAGTTTGGGCTGCACGATAACCGTCCTAAGTACTAATATTCTACTTCATTGTCCAGTTGGTGACCCTATAGACAAATATCTCCATGTGTCTCGCAAACTTTTTGTGAGTTATCTTTGTTTTTGCTCGAACTGTATTAATCTTGAGCCCCACTTTGTAGCCTTCTGTACAACGTTCTTCTACCGTTCTCTGTAACTTTTATCTCCATTCGTGACGTTTGTTTCGGGGAATTAGATGCCAGGTGTCGACTACACAACAGCGGGGGGAGGATGGGTAAAACACTGTTATTTAGATATATTACTATATCCGGACTGACAAGTATATAATTTAATGGAAAGAGCGCCTTCACTTAAGGCGCTTCGTGACATCGCTTACAGAACGGAGACAATGGTGGAGTTGACTGGGACGTACTGCAGGGATTGAGGAATGAGTGACAGCAGCAATAGAGTGGGGACTTAGGGATCACGAAAGGGCTATCGGGGAGGGACGGGAATGAGTCGAGGGGTGAGGGAAGATGAAGAGAATGAGCAATAGATACGAGGTTGAGGATTTAAGAGAGGAACGGTAGGGAGTTCAGAAGGGCGGGCGAATTGCCTGCTTTTGTGAGTCGCGACCAGCGAGAGGCGTGAAGGTGCCCCGCCAACAGGGGGCGCGATGATCACACGGGAGCGAGATGGCGACGATTGCAATCGATGTTCTCTGACCACGAATGAATGTATGGGGCAGCACGTGACAAGCTACCAATTAACTCGAACGGTACTTGTAAATAATCCGCAATGCGCCAAACCTCGGAAGACAGACGGGGGTTGAGCCTGCAATTCGTGTTCAGAAGTGACTCGCAATGCATTCCTGGTTGTCATAGGCGGCAGTGCTTGACAGGAGAGGGGTGATTGGGTGAGCGAGTGAATGAGTGAGCACCAACCACAAATCGAACCAGGTCTCGAGACAAATCACTTCCTGCCAGGTGAACACAAATCAGATGCCAATTCCCGGACTGTCCGAATCAAACCTGGACAGGTGGTAACCCGAGTTGGGAGGCCCTCGTGTCTATGATCTCCGGATTTGCCCATGGGCCCCGTGTCTCCCGAGGATTCCCGTGACTTAACATGGTCTCCCATGTCTTAAAACGGTCCCCGAATCTCCCCACGATCCCCGTCTCCCCATGGTCCCCGTGTCTCACCGATTCCTGTCTCACCATGATCCCCATGTCTCACCAAGGTCCCCGTGTCTAATGATCCCTGTCTCACCGCGATTCTCCGTGTTTCACCATGGTCCCTGCCTCCCCAGGCCGAGCACGCGGAGCGCCTGGGGATCCACTACCCTCTGCCCTCCATGGCACGTCGCGGGGGGAAGTTCCACTGATCCCTTCTGCTAACCCTCGGATCCCCCTCCCGGGGTGATCAGGGAACCCGGGTGCCCCCCAGGAACCGACGTCTCAACCACAGCCGCTGACCCTCACGTCGCCATGAGAGGGCGCCATCAGCCCGGCCAAGCGACGAAGGGACGGAGCTCCCAGGCAGTTTGCCATCTCAGGCGGGGGAACCGATGCAGCACGAGCGATGAGCGGCTGTGCCCAGTAGGGGGGACGTGGACTCTGCCAGTTGGGGGTTTGAGGGTGCGCCAGCTGCTGTAGCCCCCCACCCCCACGGTTCAGTAGGGTGCGCCAGCTGTGGTAGGGTCAGGTGGAGCCACCCAAGTGGTCTTACTCATCTGACCATCAGTCACTGAATCTCTCTCATCACTTGGGTGGTTTTCCTCTGTGGTTTGGGGGAGGCGACATCGGTGAGTTTTCTCCCACACCTGACGAAACTTTCTCCAGCACCGCAGGAATTGGGACTCCAAGGGAGACCTGGTCCACAGGGTGCTGCAGACCATGGGAGGCGCTGGGGCAGCACAACTCTTCACAGTTACACCACAGAGCCGAGCTATAATCTGATTATATAAGATTACTTTGTCAAGTTTATTGGATTGATTACTCAGCTAATCGAATTACATGTACATGAAAATAGGAGCAAAAAGTATCACCTCTGTCCCCATGTGTGCCACTGGACAGATGATGAGCGGGGCTTTGTTAAGTAATTGACACCATTAGCTGTGTCACGCTGGACGTGGCTTATCGGGGGTTTCCTGCCTTCGTCGGGCAGAAAGCACAAAAGGGTGGCCCGGTCACTTTTTAAAAGGGCCCGAGTAATCGACAACCAAAAAAAGTAGTCTATTACAATTTTAATCAAATAATAATCCCAGCTAAAAACTCTTCACGGATAAAACTCTATCCTCAGATAAATTCCTCCGAGTGAAGGGGCACCGAGGAGATTGTGAAGATTTCATCCCAAATCGGTCACGGCCGCGGCGTGAACGACGCCGCTGGGAGCTGCGATCATCGATGCCGATTCCGAGTCTTTCAGGGGGCACCTGGGCAGTGGAAGGGGGTGGATGAGGTTGGGCGCGGGGCCCATAATGGATTCGGTAGAGCGTGGCGGGTGGGGTTAGGGCTTGTACAGAGCTGTGCCGTGTTTTATTCTTGGTTGTAAATTCTCTTGCTGCAGAAATAAAATGCGATGAGGCGCGAGAGAGGAGTTAATCTCAACCGAGTGGCGCAGAGACGCAAGCCAGCAGGGGGAGGGGTACCGGGAGACGAAAGGACCTGGAGCCCACCGCCTTTCTGTGGTCCTGAGCTCAGGGGATTCCAGGACTGAGATTGAGGGAGCACGCATCCACACACAACCCCCCATACCCTAACTTGGGAGGCCCCATGAACCACATCATCCGCACTCAATAAAGGAGAGGTGCACCAAACACCACCCCTTTCGGTAGCTCAGGGGAACGCAGGGAGGACCACACCAACTCCCACTTCAGAAAAACCACACACCACCCCTGGATCCATATATACCTACCTCAGAAGGACTATATTGAAAACTAATTTCTTAAGAACCGCTTTTTGTGTTTAGTTTGTTGTCCTTCCCCCGCACCTACGGTTAGCACGGTTGGCTACGTACGGTGCAAAAGAAGTTCAACATATGCCTGGGGGAACACTTTCATACCCAAATTCCTAATTCAGAAAAAAACAGGAACCACACAACCTCCATTACTTAAATTCAGGAGACCCTCACCCTCTGGACAGCTTCTCCATCTAGACAGCCAGACACCATGCACACACACTTTTCCACACAGACACTTGGGGCTTAGTCTCAGCTTTGTCCAGTTTACCTCTCGCTATGGCTGTGGTTACCAGTCACGTGCCACCTTACATGCCAGCGACCGGGAAAATATTCAGTGAGAAATTAAGCTCCGTCGTCACCCGACACGAAGCCAGCGAGCCCCATTCCAGACATGAACCTGTCGCGGTGATTTGGCACAATCACGGGCGGTGATAACCGTGATAATTACCCCCCACCGCTCGCACACCGTTATTGCTAACGGAACCAGCGCAGAACTCACCAAAAGCGCTGACAACTGCTCAAAAGTTTTACTCAAAACGCGTAAAAAACAACGAGTGCTAACACTGGGGGGGGCGGGCGGCCGATTGTTCACGCGTGGACGCGCTGAGGGGTGGGGGGGAGGGAGGGGCGCAGGAGGGACGCCGTGCTGGGGCCCGGCCGTCCGCGGTCGGAGGGAGTGTCATCGTCCAGACAGTCGCTGCGCTGTGTAAACATTCAATTAATTGGTCTCGTGTTGCTGCTGCCACGTTAAGCATTGCGCCACGCATCGTAAACGCTGCCACCATGGCCCATCAATCACCGCGGCCCCCATCCCGGGATGAGCCCAGCAGCACAGTGGCGGCGGCGTTGGAGGCGGTCGAGCTAGCTGTGGCGGTAGTGGCGATGGCGCCGGCACGCGTGTGGAAACGCGCGCCTCGCCGCGTGCGATTGTCGTTGCCATTATCAGCCGGTGTTGCAGGTGGAGCCGGCGGCTCCCGTCTTATCAAGGCAAGCTGTGCCCATTCGTGACCGTTGTCCCCGACGTCCACCGGTGTGCGAAGTTGGGGAGGGGGAGAGGGGGGGGGCCACGCCGGGCGTGGGAGGGAGGCGCTAGGGAGCCCCGTCGCCGGTGCCGTCCGTGGCCGCCACGGTGGCATAGGCCTTGCCAGAGATGCTGGGCTGGCGCGAGAAGAAAGAAGCGGCGCGGCGTGGCTTCACGCGCCGCAGTTCCTTCCCTGCACAAGCACACGGGGGCAGCGTGAACGCACGCACACGTGTAAGCGAGTGTGTGCACACGATGGTGCGCGAGTGTGTGTACACGTGTGTACATGCACAAGCACACGGGGTGGTGTGAGCGCACGGCACACACAAGTACACACTCGCAACACGAATGGGTACATGGGTGTATACTACGTTTGTGTACCGAGTGAGGTGGGAGCATGTGTGTACCCTCCACATCCGTGTGTTGGTGTCCACCCAGCAGTGGACCCATGACCCACCGTCGTCCACATATGAGATGGTGGACAGCTGCTCCACCCGACTGTCCAGCACGCTCTCTTGCCGCTGCAGTTTCCCCCTACGCCTGCGCCCCCTGGCCCCTGCCTCGGTACTGGCGGTGTTGGGAGCCCCTCCTTCCGAGGAGGGGCCCGTAATGACACCGGGCTCCTCGGGATCGCTAGAGGTCACAGGGGTCACGGGGGCCACCGAATTCAAGGGGGTGGCAGGGGTCGTGTGGCTCAGCTCCATGCAGTGCTCGATCATCCCGTTCATCAGCTCAGCCTAAAAGCGCAGGAGAGTCCACGGGTGAGCGTGTAGGTACGTGTACAGTCGAGGGCACAGGTGAGCGGATCGGCAAGTTTACAGGTTAATGGACGGCTGCAGGTAAGGGGCAGCACCTGTTTGGAGTAGACCTTGAGGAGGCGGTTGACGGCAGCTCCATCTTCGGTGCCGTCAAACTCGAGCCAGAGCGCGTGGGCGTCATCCGGGTGCTCCTCGTCGGGCCCCGTCACGTCCCACGACAGCTCCGTGTGGCGCAGGCCCAGCAGCACATGCTGAGAGCACGCGATGAGGAGACACGGCAGGGAAGTGGTGTAGATGTGATTGGGCAAATAACCAGTAGCGCCACGTGAGATATGTGGGCAGGATGGGGGAGGGCCGATTGCCAAGACAGGCATTCCATAAATCCAACCTAAGAGCAATGGTGGGACGTGGTTCCAAGAGCTCTATGGGTCTCTGCACGAGTCTGCAGGTATATGTATAAGCCTATAGGTCTCTTATGAGAGTCGAAGAAAAGATGGCGGGGAGAGTGTCTCCTGTGCAGCAACTGTGGGATCTGCCGGAGAATAGAAAGTGTTTAGCGAGGTGGTGGTTGCACGAATGGCTTTGTACACAATGCTATCTTGATCTTGAATTGACTAAAATCGACCCAGTCGTAGTTGGGAGGCCCCCACCTTCTCCTTGACGTCAATGATGTAGATGCCTTCGAGGGAAATAGCGACCAGCACAGGCTTACGGCCGGCTCCCACCAGGCGGAGCATCCCACCTCCTGCGGGCCGCTCAACCTCGCCAGAGAAGAACGCACACCTACACACACAGAATCATACGTTCATATACACTCACACATACGCTCACAAACGCTCAGACAGAATCATACACTCATATACACAGACAAAATCACATGCTCATACACACAGACAGAATGAAAGAACCACCCCTATAGCCTAATACCCAATTCACGGATAAATTTCAGTGACCATAAAAATTTCAGCACCCTGCACGCCACATCCATCACGCACAGCACGATAACAGCTGCACTACTGCTCCCCCATATACACTCATATACACAGACAGATCCATACCCTCATATACACATAAATATAGACAGGATAATACCCTACTCTTTGGTGCTTTCGGTAAAGTCACGTAGTTAGAAATAAAATAAAATAAAACAAATCACAACGTTTCGTTCGCGACACAAGCGGTCGTCATCAGGCCTGATGATGACCGCTTGTGTTGCGAACGAAACGAAACGTCGTGATTTGTTTTATTTTATTTCTAACTACGTGACTTTACCGAAAGAACCAAAGAGTATGGATTCCTGCAGTCACGAAAGCTTCAAATCAAGATAGGATAATACCCTATTTGCCTACACACACATATACATACACACATATGCACGCACTCTTACATATCAATCAATAAATCATTAATTATGTATCCAGCTCACCTCCCATCAATAAAAATGTCTCGGAGACCTCTACATAAAATAACAATTACATAAATGTCCAATACTTACATAACATACAATTCATTTACTTTAAAATTAAAAGGAAATGTACCCGAGGCAATATCAAGTAAACCTAATACAAGATTACATTATAATTAAACATTATTATTAATATCAAGCAAAAACATCTATCTTGCCTTATGTAACATTACGATATTGAAGATGAACTCAGGAGATTTTTTTTGTTAATAAACTGTTACATTTATCTAAACAATCTGCTCCTCTGAGGTTTATGGGGAGAATGTTCCATAACGGAGCCAGACAAAAGATGCATCAGATTCGAGGAGCTACAAGGCAGCAATGCGAACTACATCTCAGACACGTGGCAGGCACGTCATTCTTGAGGTCAGAGAGGTCAGGCGAGCTGGTGCCGTGTAAATTCCTGTACGTTAAGGTAGATTGTTTTTATGAATATCAAGAATAAGTACTTTTGGTATTTTGCGTACTTTTGGCATTTTGCCCCATTCCTTTTGCGCAGGGGCTATCATGAAGGCACGTTGTTTGACAGGAGGATATAGTCTGCCAGTAGGCAGCAATGTTTCTACATGGGTCATCTCAATTAAGTAATTTGCGGTGTTATCTTTCAAACTTGGCAACATTGAGATCATGACCCCAACACGCAATGGCCTGCACAATTCGAATGACCTCAGGGAATCTTTTTAATGTCCACTGTGAAGCAGACGATGAATAAACCCGGAGTAATAACCAGAGCGGCCTGCTGCGCCACCGCCCTGTGTAACCGCAAGCATGAACCATGAACAGAATCAGCATAGGTATTTATACTGGAGGAATCCGATGAACTATAAAGCTCTTTCTCACAGATGTCCAGTAGGGGCAGGTAGGAACGTTACAACAACAAACAGTACAAAAAAACACGATGGGAGTGCAAAGTACAGGAAAAGCAAACAAATCACCCAAAAACATACAAATAAAACTAAACCATCCCCATCCTACGAGGCAAAGCCCACCGAGGTATTAACTTACTTTTTAGAAGTGACAAGGCCACAAATCATAGCACTAGAGATATATGCTCATAAAAACTCTAGCTAGCAGCCACATCCTGCACTGAGCTTAAGAAGGTTGCTAAGCAAAAGGGGCACATAATGAGAGTCAAGCTTAGAGGTTATAAAACGTGTGACACAGGATCCTCTGCATCCCCTTAAGATTAAAAATGGATGTATACGGGAAATATGTATAATATGATAAACAAGCAGTCCATCCCACAGGAGAGAAGTGCTTCTACAAATCTGAGAACATTGTCTAGGGTGACCCCTCAAAGCTCCTCACAGAAGAGAGATTAAGGTATTATTTTGCAGGCAGCTAAATTAAGCCCAGAGAAGTGTCTAAAAGTTGTCTAGTTGCTGCTTTGTGCCAAGAAAAAGTAACTCTGTCTCACTCACACTGAGCTGAAGGATTTTGGAGGTCATCCAAAAGGGAATGTCCATAAGACATGCCACTAAGGTGTCACAGTGGTAACACTGGTGCCTCACTGCAAGAAGCTCCTGGGTTCAGGTTCGATTACTGACTCGGGCGCCTTTCTGTGTGGAGTTTGTATGCTCTCTTCCTGTTATGCATGAGTTTTCTCCAGGTTACCTGGTTTAGAGCAGCCTGCTAACAGCGACACTACCGCTCGCTGCTTATATGTATGTTGAACTCCCTTCGCAACGTACGTAGCCAACCGTGATAATCGGAGGTACGAAGGACACACAAACTAAACACACACTGTCACACTGACACAGTGTGACACGTACCATGATCTATCCACTGCTACTTATATCAATGAGCGGCCTACACTGGATACATGTAAGGAATGTACACTCACACACTCGCACACTAAGCACTCACAAACTCAGTCTCAAATTATTCGGTGACGCTGCATTGACAGTGGTGCACGAGCACAAATAACGAAAAATCTCATCACATTCGTCAACAATCCTGAAGATATATTCTTAGTTTTTTCGGTAAAGTCACGTTGAAGAGAAACAACAAAATAACAAAATATATATATCTGTTGTTTCTCTTCAATGTGACTTTACCGAAAAAACTAAGAATATGAATTACTGCAGTCATGAAAGCTTTAAATCAAAATCCTGAAGATCATTTAGATTTGTAAGGAGCCCCCTAAACAATGGATCTCAAAACACCATAAATAACACTACCTTAAAATTAATCACGAAAATAAGTGATCTTACGGGCAACGACCCTCCTTCAAAGCACATATTAATTTTTTTATGTGTTATTGACGAGCACGTTCAGTTTATATATAGTCTCAAGACACTAAGGCACACGCTCGCATGTACCCACTCAATTTCTAATCAGATGTTTTGTTTGTGCAAGCGCTGTTTATTCATTTAAATTCATTTGGAAAATTAATAGGACGGCTAAAAATGCATATGCCCTTCCAAATACAATGCACCCTACTCGTGACCACAATAAAAATGTACTTGTCCTTTGTATTTTATTGAACGTATTAGAGGGCGATTTAAGCGCATTCATTATAAACGTATCATTGGGGACGCAATGAATGAGATTGAAGGAGAAATGAGCCTCACATGACAAATTCCATCAAATTATAAGCAGCTCTAGCCAGGAGGCCACTGTAGACATGACTTAAATCTCAGCGTGCATCGCCAGTGGAGAGTTAAGGTGAAACATTTCTGAGAAGATGCTCAACTTATAGGTATCAATGGGCAACTCTGAATGCAGCAACGTGAGTTATTCCTCATACTGCCCAAAGGAAACCCAGTCACAGGCACGAATCCATTTTCTCGTGCACCTTTGAGTCGGTTGCATAGCTATCGAGTGTGCAGGCCGTGCAACTGCACAAGGGGCCCACGACAATGTAAAATATCTTCACACCACACCCCTGGTTGGCCTGGGGGTGGTTTGGCCAGGCACGGTAGGCTGTGTTTTACCTGTGGTGAGGTTGTGTGTCTGAGCAGGATACCTCACTCTTAGTAGGGTGGTGTGGCCAGGCATGGCTGGGCAGTGTCTCACACCTCACACATAGTATGGTGGTTGTGTGGCTGGACGTCTCACCAGTAGTAGGGTGCCACACCAGTAGTAGGGTGGTGGCATGGTAGGGTGTCTCACCCGTAGTAGGGCAGCTGCTGGCAGATGTGCAGGTACTGCGTGAACAGGGGTGTTCGCTGGGTGCAGGCCTCTGCGCCCTGTTCCCTGCACAGATTCTCGTAGCCCTGCAGCAGCACTAGCTCCCGTGCTGGGGGGCGGCTGCCCCCCCCCGATGTCCCCCGAGACAGCAGCCCCGAGAGCAGCCCCCCTCCACTCACCCCGCCGGACTTGCACATGTGGGGGGGCAGGTACTCGCTTAACGACGTTCTGGGGCACAGGGGGCAAAAGTTCAACGTGTGAGCGTGGCTCCCATCAGTCACCACCACCAAGGCCAACACCGACACGCAGGTCTCGTGGCAGCCTGTTCTGTACGCCGACGGCCCAGCCAACACGACTGCGGTAATGGCTTTTACTGCCACGCGGGGAGTGGCGCGACTCGCGTGACCATCCCGTTTATTAATCGGAGGGGTGCGGCGAGAAGCAATCAGAGATTTAAGTGCTTGGGTCGCCAAATCCAGTGATTATGAACAAGTAGGAATTTACTCTAAAGGTCCAATTAATTACATAAACAGCAGCACTTACAGGGACGTGTAACTTAGTGAGGAGGAAAGCGCTGAGATGGTGGATAGTTGAAGCGGTGATGTCGGTGGCGGAATTCAGCGGGAGGGGGGAAGGGAGGCCGAGGCTGGCGCTCACTTGATGCGGGCGGCGGTGTGCTGAGCGGGGTCGTGAGGGCCCAGCTCGATGGCGCAGGTGAGAACGCCCAGCTGCGTAAGCACAGCCGGGTCACATGGGTAGCGCTCGGCCAGCACGTTGCCCTTCGCCTCGCGGTACAGCAACCCCAACATCTCAGTGTTTGTCACCTACAGACACGCACACACTCTATATATATACAAAGTCAACCACACAAAGATCCCCCTATGGCCTGAACACACTGTTGGGGTAAGTGCTGTTTGTAAGCACCTATGCTTGTCCAACAGGGTACATGAGGGGATGGTGTGGCCAGCACCTCACCTGGCTGCCTTTGTGTCCCCAGTGCTGATGTTTACACATAACACCTGGTACTCATTTTAGGCCGAGTCGACGTAGGGCAGGCCCAGAATCGGTTCATGTATTCGTCAATGATGTTGGCAGTGAGTTTGTAGCATAGTGCGCCAAGCTCTTCACTTCCACTTCTCACACAAACGGGCATACGATACTCACACATATAAGAATATGGTTTTCCCCTTTTTTTGGCAACAAAACTGACACCTTTTTACAAGGAATCATGTCTGCATTAACCACAATACTTGTGGTCAAAATGCAAACAAAAGAATAATATATGCATTGTCCTTGAAACTGATTGGTCCACACCAGAAACAGCTTTCTTTTGAGCCTCGTCTCAAACGGTGCCAAACCAGAGGATGCCAAAAGGAGTAGAGCTCAAAGACAATACACTATTCAAAGTAATGAGGGTTCGGGGTAAGCATCTACATCACTATCATATTCATATTCACACAGTGGATCACCCAGAAACCCAACGAAAGAGACTGAAGGGGATGAATAATTTCCACTGTAAAAGCAAGTCACTCGTTTCAGAAAAGAAAATTGAGTGCACATAATTAAGTTTCTGATTATGTATGATATTTAATGCACTTAAAATGAAGCACACATCAAGAATTAATAATGTAATTATCATTTAACATTTATGAAAACTTCACAATTCGGCTATCACATGCAAACATTTCGGGGATGGGAAACTACTACTTGGATGTGCCTCTGCACAAACACTGACACGCGTTTATATTATTACAAAGACAAAGATACTCCCCTATAGCCTTGACATAATTTTGGGGCAAGGGCTGTTAGCAAGCACCTTTGAAAGCCGGCATGGCAAATGAGGGGGTGAGTGGGGTCAGCACCACGCCCAACCGTCTTTGTCTCCCCAGTGGCAATGTTAACACACCACAGAAGGTACTCATTTAAGGCTGAGTAGACCTAGGGGAGGCCCAGAACCGGATCAGCTAATCGTCATCGGTGTTGGTCGTGAGCGGGAATTTAACTTGGGTCGCCGAATTCATAGAGCAGCGTGCAAACCACTGCTCTCTCCCCCCACACATATATACACTAATTTACTGTATATATAAAAACACACATCTCGATACAGTAGTATGGATTGTTGGGGAAAGCACTCTTCAAGATTACCTATTACGCCCATCACAGTGCATTAAAGGGTGGTGTGGACACACCAGAATCTGTCCAACTTTGTCCATCCAGTGCTAATTGTCTACAGACAGCACCACACTCGCTTAAGGCCCAAAACATGTTCGTGATTCTTGCAACTGATGTTTAGCTGTGGCCGGGAATCAAACTCATGTGACTGGTTTTATAGCGTAGTGTGCCAATGCCACTGCACTGCATGTAACAATACACACACCAATCGTATATATACGCAAAACACACGTGCACATACACAGTTTAAAAACCTATCATATTCATCATAAAAGTGCCTCACCAAAACAAATTTCTGTTAGGTGGCAAGGTTATTGAGGCATACTGAGAGATTGATTTGTATTCTTGGTTCTTTCGGTAAATATATTTTTATTGTTTCCCTTCTACGTGACTTACCGAAAGAACCAATCACGAAAGCTTTAAATTAAAATTTAAAGATTGATTTGTATTTATGGACCACTGCCAACAGTGAGCCAAATGCAATGTTTAATTTTATACATACGCATATGCAGCATAGAAATACAAAGATCCCCTGTGTAACCATACTGGCTGTTGGGGCAAGTGCTATTAGTAAGCACTTGTTCAGGCTGGCCTGGCGTATGAGGGAGACGTGGCCGAAACTACACCCAGCCACCTCTGTGTCCCCAGTGCTGATGCTTACACACTGCACCAGGTCCTCATTTAAGGATGACCTTGGGGGAGGCTCAGGACCGGTTCATATACTCGTCTCTGATGTTGGCCAATAAGCGGGAATCAAACTCGGATGCCCGATGGTTCATACCACAGTATGCTAATCACTGGACAACCGCTCCCCCCTGCGCGATTACAGACACACGAACGGACGTGGTCAACTGGTGCCAGCTCCCTCCACCGTACACAACACGAGCGCGGGCCCCGAGCCGTGGCCCCCACCCTCCCTCGCCTCCAACTATGCCCCCCTCCATCCCGAAAAACCCCCACACTCCGTGCTGGCAGTCAGTCAACAGTGGCACAACTCGCCAAAATTATATAATCGCATCCAAGGCTATAACCGGAGCCCGTTATGCAAGTGCCATAATGGTAATTGTTCACCACGTTTTTGACTGGAATTGTTCAAAAATTTCAAACGCAAAGAGCACCATCACGTGGCTCATTATCATCAGCCATGATCAATCCACTGCTGGATGAAGGCCTCCCCAAATTGCAACCATGTCTAAATTGGGATAATTGGTATCAGCAGGGTGAGGACGGAAGGAGGGAAATCAATGACTGAAGAGTGGCAATATATATTTTCCGCGAGGCAGTTAACTTTCATTATGAAAGTGTCAGATGTGAATTTTCTCCAGGAATCAAGACAGCGTTTTGAAATTGAAGAATTCATTGGATAGGTTGCCCAGCTTCTGCTAAGGCTGTCTGAAAACACTACAGGCAACAGGGTGGCACCATCGTGCCTCACAGCAAAAAGATCCTGGGTTCGATTCCAAATTCAGGCAACTTTCTGTGTGGAGTTTGTATAGTCTCTGCCTATTCTGCACGGGTTTCTTCCAGGTTCTCCAGTTACCTCCCATAGCTAAATAAACAATGTAACTGATATTGGCCAAAACATACCAATACTAAGAAGTTACCAGCAAATAACTCAAGTGGGAAAAAACAAGGCAACATAGTCCCCTACTGCAAAAACTTGACAGGACCTTCCTGAAAAAGAGTCTCGAAACGTTACTGAGTGACCAAGCAGACAAATAATAACTACAAGCTACAACCCTCGCCTACAAACCACAAAACACACCATGGGTTGAGTGGCCTTTACCTCGGCTTCTCGGCTCTTGGGAAAAAACACGTTCCTGCGGTAGATGAGAGCCGGCACATCTGCAGGGGGAGAGACATACAGCGGAAGATGGAAACATGTATACACTAAGGGGAGACACGGACACACAGCGGATCATACAAACACAGCGGGAGACAGACACACAGCGAGCGATAGAGACACAGCAGAACACCCTGACTCAGAGGGATGAAGTTGCATGGGGGGAGACAGACATTACACATACTGTAGTCACAGATACATTAAGACACAAAGACAAAGATCCCCCCTATCGCCTAAATACTCTTTTGGCAAGTGCTTTTAGCGAACACCTATGAAGGCCAACATGGCATACACGACGGTGGATGGTCAGCACCACGCCAGGCTGTCTTTGTCTCCCCAGTGGCAATGTTTAAACATCGTACAGGGTACTCATTTGAGGCTGAATTGACCTAGGGAAGGCCCAGGACCGGTTTTGATCATCATCACTGGTGTTGGCCGTGAGCGGGAATCGAACTCGGACCACCCGGTTCGTAGCGCAGCGCGCTAACCGCTACACTACCACTCCCCACACAGACACACTCTAGCACACTCACACTCGTGTACATGCACGTGTGCGCATTCGCACACACACGCAGTTACACACAAGTGGATGAACGAGTGCATCTAGTGCGTAAGAACAGATTGAATCAATGCATGGATAAATGGCAAGTTTTCACGCTGAAAACACAGCTATTGTAATAAGATTGAGCCTTGATGTAACAGAGCGCGCTGCCCCTCACACTCACGATGCGTGCAGCTAGAGAGCCCGCAGGGCGAGGCTGGAGCTAAGAGAATAGAGGTTGAGGAATAGCACGCATCTCAGCCCTTCATCACCCATAATAATATTAATATTATTCTTGTTTACCCAAAAAAGCCTCAGTGAGCCTCAAGACTCGTTTTCAGGAGGGTCCTGCCAGATTTTCAGAGTAGAGGATGATGTTCCTGCTGTGTAATCCCAATTGAGCAATATGCAGACATTTCTTTCAGCATTCAAATGTTTGGCCAATACCAGTTACAGTTCGTGTTTTTTTAGAGTGAATATCAGTTCAGTTCATTTATTAGGTATAGCCAGCCCTGTGAGCCATTCTGCTCTTCAATCGGGTGCAACTGCAACAAACAAAAACATGAACAAGAAACATCTTAAAGTGACTACGCGCAACAGAAAATCAGCAAAGTATATAAAACTATGGGTGAGTTTGGTATTTAAACATTTCAGAGTTTGGGACTTTTCAGGACAATTTTGGATATTTTTTGGGAGCTTGGACAAATAACATCATGTTGTATCTGTATGTATCTTCGGACTCACAAACGTGACGTCACTGGACGCTAAGTGTCACCGTTTTTTTCCCGTGGGAAAACAGGAGTGGCATCACATTCGTGACATCACTTCCCTTGTTGGAAGAATCAGAAATCAATTTTCTGGATAAAGCTCAAGTTACCAGAAGGCGTCGATTTAGAGACGAGATTTGGGCTCAAGGTAGTGTCAGGACTGGGATTAGAGCTAGAAAATGGGCTTGGGACAGAGCTATAAGTAGCAGGAGGGTTGATGGTGGTGCCAGGGCCGAGGTTGTGGCGTGTATTCATGGCGTGGGGCCCGCACCGTCATGGATGTGACTCAGGGGGCAGTCGGTGAAGCGGTAGAGGAGGTCTGGCCACTGACGGCACAGGCGGTACGGCTGGTGGCGTGGCTTCAGCTGCAGTTCTGCACATGCCACAACATGGCACACCAAGGTTAAACCATCCCCACGGCACTCCACACCCAGTCATACTATGGTAAAGTATGGCCCTCCACACTGAATCACTCCACACCACATGTAGCTAAGTGATATCAAAGAGGAAAAATCCCCCGTTTATCCTTAACAGACTGTAGGGGCAAGTGCTGTTAGCGAGCACCTATAAAAGCCGGGACGGCACACGAGGGGGTGGGTGGCCAGCACCATGCCCGACCGCCTTTGTCTGCCCAGTAGCGATGCTTACACACCGCACCAGGTACTAATGTGACATCACACCCACAGCGTGACGCATTGAGTCACGCCACAACCTCAGGAGGGGGCGGGGGAGTTTGTGTTTGTTTTTAGATGCAAGCAGATTGAGCCATGCAGGATCAAGATCAATGTCTTTGTGCGAGTGAGTGAGATTATGCCTTAGCCACATCAGCAACAGCACCGGGTGAGCACGAGGTGGTGTATGGTGGTGGTGTGGTCAAGTGAGGGTGACATTGCCAAACAAGGGTGGCATGGCCAATTGTGGGTGGAGTGGCCTTGCAAGGCAGTGTGGCAGAATGATGGTGGAGTGGCTGAATCAAAGTGGCTTCACTGGGCGAGGGCAGTGTAGATGAGCAAGGGCATTGATCATGACTGGATGCCGGCAGGGCCTTAACGGGGCATAACGGCTGGCGTCATCCCCTCCCCGCCCCCCCGCTGTGTGGGGAATGCGGTAGAGGAGGTGCGCACCTTTGTCCACTTCTGGAAAAACTTTAGTGAATAATTTTTTTTTACTTAGGGATAGACGGGGAAATGGCTCTTGCTTTCTCATGTAGCCTGTTTCAATCCTTTGCTGCCAGGAGGAAAAGACGAATTACGTACAGTTTTCTAGGTATTCGTGCCTGTTTGTGCTTGACATGCCCTCAATGTATTTGACGTGATGTAATGTTCTGGGGGGTGAAGAGCAAAATGGCCATGGACAATGTTGTGGAAACTAGAGAGGCGAGTGGCGTGTCCCTGATAAGAGTAAGATGGTGTGGCCAGACGTGGCAGAGTGGGCAGAATCACCGAGCCGTGACGATATGAGCCACAGAGCGAAGACGTCGTTGGCGAGGGTTGGGAGACCGTGTGCCTCCTGCAGGTAGTGGCACAGCTCCCCAGCCGTGACACCTGCGCCATTCTCAACAACTAGTGGCACCGGCATGTCATCCGCCAAGTAGACACACAGCTCCAGCGCTACTCACACACAAAGATAAAAAGACAAAGACCCCCCACCTCGTTTAGCCTTCACAGACTGTTGGGGTAGGTTCTGTTAGCGAGCATCTATGAAGGACGGGACAGTGTGTCCTTTAAATATCTGGTTAATTCATAGGTGGGGTGCCCTGAAATATCTGTTTTCTGAAGAACACACACCTCCAAGGAGACCATTTTCTATGAAAAAAATAGGTTCTACCCTTTCTGGCAATAAAACAGGTGAAAAGATGTTCAAACACCAAATATAAACCTTTCGCAATGAATCCTGTCTGCATTAGCCACAAATACTTGTGGTGAAAATGCCAACAAAAAAAACATGCTCTGTAATATATGCATTGTCTTTGAAACTGATTGGTCTATATACGAGACAGCCTTCTTTCGTGCCAAGTCTCACCAGTGTCAAACCAGAGAATGCCAACAGGCGAACAGTGAAACATACAAATATGGAAAGCAAGATAAATAAAATGGAAAGACCAGATACCACCAAAAACCAGGATAAGATTTCTCTTGTTTACCCAGGGGTCAATTGAGTCTGACTTTTTTTTTCAGCCAAAATTTGTCTCATGACTGTAGTTCAATTGTGGGTAATGTTAAATTTTTTTGCAAATTTGGACCATGATGCCGGCACACAAAAGTCTATTCTTGCGAATTGTTAATGTCCACTGTGAAGCAGTTGGCGCATGTTTTTCTCGGGTTAAGACACCCGCAGTAATAACCAGGGTAGCCACTGGAATCGAATTGTGGACATCTGCAGAAAGCAACGAACGTGCTACTGCTAGGCTGTGTCACCGCTCTAGCGAATTCGGGAATGCATAATCCAATGCTGCAGTCTTTATTCTCCAGTTTATTATTAAACTGGCTAGGAGGGCGCGCTGCATGAAGATGCAGCTAACAATTCAGCATTGTTTTGTGGGTTGTTTAATTTGTGAGGCTCGTGAGTGCGATTTTCAATTCCTTCATATTTTTGGAAAGATTATATGCACAACAAGACTGAATAGCCACCGACACTTTGTCGAGGACACTATTCCCAGCGGATAATCCCCATACTTCAGCACTGAAATAGGGAGAATGCGTTCTTGTCCTCCCCCCTACATCCCTGATTAACATGGTTGGTTACATACGGTGCAAAAGAAGTTCAACATACATACATACTTCGTGAACACCTGGGACAAGACAAATGCATCTTTAATTCTAAAGCCAGTGTTAGTACCCTGTTTGAACAATAATCGAGACATCCTTAATTTATTGGGGCAATTCATTTCGGTATAATCACCGAGTTGAAAGTTTTGCTAAATTTCACTCACCCCTTCGCTCACAAACTCTCACAAGAAAACCCCTTCACTCCTGCTTGTACAACCGTTCAATAATACTCTTGTCAATCTCATTCACATACCCTCCATTTATTGACTCGCACCTTCATTAACACACCTTGCTACACACTCATACACGCTAACACGCACATACCCCCATCCCTTCAACGCACTCGGTTACACTCTCAAAAACAATAATCTTCCTATAGTTGTTGTCGGTAATGATAAGCAATATGTGAAGGCTGGTATTGCACACGAGTGGGTGGTTGTGGCCACCTCGTGCCCGGCCGCCTCTTCTCGCACACGGTCTCTCCCTCACACACCCCGCAAGGACAATGGTGATCTAACACGACGTGTACTTTGTTCTTCATCGTCGCGTCGCTGCTCGTGTAATTTAAAGCGGATCTATGTAGGCACACGCACACACCAACATACACACGCGCACCTATTTAGAGAGTGCTCCAAACACACCGGACGCCTGCCTATGAACAAATTACATAATTACTGTGGTTTCCGGAGGGACAATTTGACGATTACAGATTCCACACAAATTGGTCAATTTATAAAAAGTCAGAAATAACACAATGCAAAGTGGCCTCAAACACCACACACTCATTTCATAGGGGCTTGGGCCAGATGGGCTCGCATCTCTCAACACGCACGGCGGAGTTAGAGGGCGCGTGTGATGGGACGGGTATCGGAGAGTACCAGAGTGTGCGTATAGTGAGGTGGTCTGTGCACTGCGCTACGAATCCGGCGACCCGAGTTCGATTCCCGCTCACGGCGAATACCAGTGACGATTGTCTGAACTGGTCAAGGGCCTCCCCTAGGTCGACTCAGCCTCAAATTAGTACCTGGTGCGGTGTGTAAATATCACCACACGGGAGACAAAAGCTCTCGGGTGTGGTGCTGGCTACCCACCCCCTCATGTGCTGTGCCGGCCTTTATAGATGCTCGCTAACCGCACTGGCCCCAACAGTCTGTTACAGGCTATACAGGGGATCTTTGTCTTTGTTAGAGAGTACCAGAGAGTGTGCAAAAAGTGAAGTAGTCTGTGCACTACGCTACGAATCCGGCGACCCAATTCCAGCTTACGACCAACATCAGCGACTAATATCTAAATTGGTCATGGGCATGCCTGAGATAGACAACGCCTTAAATGAGTACCTGATTTGGCGTTTAAACATCAGCATGAGACGTAAGGGTGACCCAGGTGTGGTGTTGGCCACATCACCCTTTCGTGCATCGTTAAGAGGTGCTCACGATCAGCACTTGCCTTAAAGTCTGTGTGGGCTGGATGGCGAATCTTTTGTCTTGTGTTTCTGCGCGAGGGAGTTAATGAGATGGTGGTGTGTATGTGATTCGCTCACTTGTGCAAACCCGCTGGTGAATTAACTTACCGCATATAAATCCCACTAATTTATGTGCTATTCATTTTTATGCGCAGAAACGCGTATCCACTCAATTTATGCGCAGAGCCAAAGTGATTTGCGTTAGGCAGCAAAGCAAAGTTTCAAACAACATGCCAAGGTGCAGCGGACTTGGGAGATGTCACTGCAGAGGCGCAAGAGAATTCCAGTTCCCATTGTGCTTGCCGCAATCAAAGCAAATTATGAGTACAATAGTTCAGTGCGGAAACCACCATGCCACCGCTCCCCACACACAGAAACTGACAGAGCAGTGTGCTCTTACAGGATGGGGTGCAGGTTGTATGTGTGCAGAGGTGTATGCAACATTCCATGTTGCATAGTGGTAAACATGCTGCCCTTAGAACTTGACAACTCAATTTGATTTCTGCTCACGGCCAACACCAATGACGATTAACTCAAACAGTTCTGGGCGTCCCCTAGGTTGACTCTGCCTATAATAAGTACCTGGTGGGTGTACACATCGCCAATGGGAGACAAAGGCAGCTTGGCGTGGTACTGGCCACCCACCCCCTTCTGTGCCGTGTTGGCTTTCATAGGTGCCCACTAACGGCATTTGTGACAACAGTCTGTTAAAGGCTATATGGGGTATCTTTGTCTTCTTCTGTGTACTGGAGGTGTTTGAGTTGCGGGGTTGTGAGTGCGTGGGTGTACGAGTGTGCTTGTGGAGAGGGTATGTGCATATGTCTTTGTGTGCGTATGTGTGCATTTATGGGTTCTGTCTCTATATTTAGGGGACGGTGGTGTAAATGTGGCGTAATGCACAGCACTACGTAACCGGCGATCTGATATTTGGCCACAGCTAAAATCAAAGGTACCCGGTGGCGGCTCTTGCCACAAAAGGCTCTCGTGTGCCGTGTCAGCCTAAGTAGGTGCTTGCGAACAGCACTTGCTTCAACTGCCCATCAAAAACTGAAGGCAAATGTTTTTATTTCCCTGTGTGTACATGTATGTGTGTCCTGGGCTGGTGAGAGCCCTTGACACACACCGAGCCAGTATGCCTCTTCGCTATAGCTGTGGCAGCTATTCACGTGCTACCTACAAGTTGACCAGTGAGCCGGAAAATATTTAGTGATAAATGAAGACCCGATTGTGCCTATGCATGTGTCTGTGCATGTATATTTCTGTCTATGTATGTATTATGGACCTGTGTATCTATGTCTACCATGTGTTTGTACATGTATGCATGTGCATCTTTGACTTTTGTCTATATTTTGTGTGTATGTCTACATGTCTTTGTGCAAGTATGCATGCATGTGTATCTATATCTGTGTCTGTATGTGTGTCGTGTGCTGTGCCGGCCTTCATAGGTGCTCGCGAACAGCAACAACAGTCCGTTAAGGGCTATATGGTGGATCTTTGCCTTTGTGTCTGTATGTGCATGTGTGTGTCCCACGCACGCCGGGCTGCAGAGTTGACGCTCTCCTGCCTCGTCAGCCCTGGCTCCCTTCCTCCCTCCCCGACAGTTGCCATCTCCTCCTCGTCCTCCGCCTCCTCCTCCACACGTGAAGTCGTGGCTCACTGGAGGCAGCAGCCGAGGCTCATGGGGCCTTGAAAAAGGCAGCAGCAGCGGGGGGTTCTCAGCCTTGCTCACTCCAGCGTACCTGCCGAGAGGTTTGGGGGCAGACCCAGCATTTTAATTCTCACACGTGGATCGGTTTTACACGTTTTAATGAGCGATTGTGGAGGTGTCAGGCCCCGTGATAGTCCTGTCAACACAAGACAGCATCAACAGGGTCCCATCAAACCGTTCATACGACTGGAGAGCACAGACAACGATCACTTATTGACCCAGGAAAGCGACACTGAGTAGGAAATATTTTTTTTCAGGAGGGGGTCTGCATTGGAACGTTTGGTCAGCCCCAATTAAATTCTATGTGTTCAGCTATGGGAGTAAAGCAGAGAACCCGGAGGAACCTATGCAGAACACATGAAGGCGCCCGGGAATCCAACCCAGGACCCTTCTTGCTGTGAGGCACAAGTGTTAGCACTATGCCACAATACACCTCCAATTAGCACGATAGGTTACGTCCGGTGCGAAAGACGTTCAACATACATACAAATCAAGCCTACTGGTGACCAAGAGGCAGTGACGGAAATTCCACATTGCCATGGCGGAGGCGAGGCTCTAAGTACAGCAAATTGCCTGTTGACTTGTCAGTGTGGTGGTCGTGTACTTGTTTTATCGACTCGGCAAGCGTTGGTGGCAACGACGACGATGATGTTGGGCTGAGATTTGAGAGCGGGTAAACGGGTCCCCCAATTGACTTACGGATAATTGGATAGGGGGGGGGGATTAAGGGGAACCTCCTGAGACCCCGTAGGAGGGGTTCTTCTCCATCCCGAGTTGTCGTTGCAGTTGTTAAGTTGCCGCGATTGCAGACGTGCGTGTTATATAATCTAATTCATATGTATTATTTGTTGTTGTGGTGTTGTTAAGGTGTACTGTGGTGATGAGATGTAGAGTGGTAGGAGTGTCTCTAATGCAGCTGTGTAATTGCGTTGTTGTATTGTGGCTAATGTCCTTATTACTCATTGGTTTTTTCGGTAAAGTCACGTATGTAGAAATACAATAAAATTATATTAAAACAAAAAACAATCACGACGTTTCGATCACAACGCAAGCGATCTTCATCAGGTGTCAAGAACAAATCACGGAGGTAAATACAACAAAAAGATGAGAGACGAGAATTCAACAAACCTGAAAAAACATTATGTGAAGCACATCCAGTCAGGCCAACAACACAGACACTTCCTGGCGGACCACGAATTTCAGAAGAGTGTTAAATTTCGTGTTCAACCTTTGGATTGCACATACCAGCATAGATAGAATTAAAAATACGAGGTACACGGTCAGTAGAAATACATATACAAGTCCACCAAGAGGTAAGGAGGGAGGAAAGACGGACAGGGAGGCAGAGAGAGATATATAATTTTATTGTATTTCTACATACGTGACTTTACCGAAAAAAACAATGAGTAATTTTATGCAGTCACGAAAGCTTTAATACTTTATAATGTCGTTATTGTTTAGTTGTTGCCGTCTAGTTTAGTTGCAGTGTTGTAATTATAGTTGCAGTTTGGTTGTGTGATGTGGATTTAATAATGTACTGTAGTTTGTTGTAGTTTTGTTGCTGCAGTGTAGTACAGTAGTTTGTTTTATTTGAATGTGTGTGGGTGATTTGTTTACCTTTCGTGTACTCTGCACTCCTGTTGTGTTTTTGTGTATTGTTTGTTGTTGTAACGTTCCTACCCGCCCCGACTGGACGGCTGTGCAAAAAGAGCTTTATAGCTCATCGGATTCCTCCTGCAGTTTAAATAAATATCAGGATTCTGTTGTATGGGGGCGGTTTGTTGGCTGGTGTGGTTGTATTTGTTGTGATAATTGCTGCCGTGATGATGTTGGTTGTTTTGATGTGGACTTTGTCCAGTGTGGTTTTATTGTGGTAGGTTGTTGTAGTGGTTGTAGGTCACCTCAGTAAGTTGTGCTGAAGTTTGCTGGTAGTTGGTTTAGTGATAACTGTTGTCCAGTTGTGTTATTGTAGTCGCTGTAATTGTGGTTTAGTTTTGTTGTTACCTCGGTTATAGGCTGCAGTATAATTATCGTAGTTTTAATATAGTTGCATAACAGTATTAGTTGTTGTTACCTCAGTAGCAGCACTGCAGTATGTAGTAATTGTAGTATAGTTGTTGTTTTGTAGTTGTAGTATAGTTGTTGTGGACGTCGCAGTCTCATTGAATTGCAGTATAGTTGCCAGAGTATAGCAGCAGCAGTGTTTGTGTTGTTAACTCAGTAGTAGTAGTCTAGTACTTGTATAGTTGTTGCACTACAGTAGTAGTAGCAGTTGTGGAAGTTGTCGCCGTCAAGTTAAGTTGCAGTATAGTTAGCGTGCCTGTGTGTGAGTATAGCAGCAACAGTGTTTGTGTTGTTAACTCAGTAATAGTAGTCTAGTAGTTGTTTAGTTGTTGCACTACAGTAGTAGTAGTTGTTGTGTAAGTTGTCGCCGTCAAGTTAAGTTGCAGTATAGTTAGCGTACCTGAGTGTGAGTATAGCAGCAGTAATAGTTTGTGTTAACTCAGTAGTAGTCTAGTAGTTGTATAGTTGTTGCACTACAATAGTAGTGGCAAGTTGTGTAAATTGTCGCAGTCAAGTTAAGTTGCAGTATAGTTAGCGTGCCTGAGTGTGAGTATAGCAGTAGTAGTTTGTGTTAACTCAGTAGTAGTAGTTGTATAGTTGTTGCACTACAGTAGTAGTAGCAGTTGTGTAAGTTGTCGCCGTCAAGTTCAGTAACTTAGCGTGCCTGAGTGTGAGTACAGCAGCAGTAGTAGTTTGTGTTGTTAACTCAGTAATAGTAGTCTAGTACTTGTATAGTTGTTGCACGACAGTGGTAGTAGCAGTTGTGTAAGTTGTCGCCGTCAAGTTAAGTTGCAGTATAGTTAGCGTACCCGAGTGTGAGTATAGCAGCAGTAGTAGTTTGTGTTGTTACCTCAGTAGTAGTACAGTAGTTGCAGTATAGTAGCTGTAGTGATATAGTTGTTGTATTGTAGTGGTTCTGAGTTAACGTCGTCACATTAAGTTGCAGCATACAGTACCTGCGTATGAGTACAGCAGCAGTAGTTTGTGTTGTTACCTCAGTAATAGTACAGTAGTTGCAGTACTCATATAGTTGTACTGCAGTAGTTGTTGTGGAAGTTGTCGCCGTCACATGAAGTCGCAGTATAGTTACAGTACCGGAGCGTGAGTATAGCAGCAGAAGTAGTTTGTATTGTTACATGAGTAGTCGTAGTCCTAGTAGTTGTAGGATAGTTGTTTGAGTATCGTTGTTGTACTGTAGTATAGTTGTTGTTGTGGAAGTTGTCGCCGTCACATCAAGTTGCGGTCTAGTTGCCGGAGTGCGAGTGTAGCAGCAGCAGTGTGTGTTGTTGTTACCTCAGTAATAGTAATCTGGTAGTTATAGTAAAGTTGTTGTAGTATCGTCGTTGTACTGTAGTATAGCAGTTGTTGTTGTGAAAGTTGTCGCCGTCACATGAAGTTGCGGTCTAGTTGCCCGAGTGCGAGTGTAGCAGCAGCAGCAGTGTGTGTGTGTTGCTGTTACCTCAGTAGTAATGAGACAGTAGTTGTACGTTGTTAGTAGTAGTCGAGGAGTTGCTGTAGGAGTCTCAGAGTTGAGTTGTTGTTGTTGAGTTGTTGTCGCCTCCGGCCTTGCTACTCTCGGCTCCACGGGGCGCGGCGCGCGCTTCACTTCCTGCGCGTGACGTCACCACACCGTCCCCCCCCCCTTCGCGTCACCCGCCCTGACGTCACGTGGTCTTTTGGCGGGAAGATTTGAGAGCGTGGGGGGCACGTGGGCGGGACCGGCGAACCCCCCACCACCACCCCGCCCCCCTCACCACCCCCCCCCCGAAACCCCGCCCCCCCCACCACCCCACCCGCCCGACAACCCCGCCACACCCCCACCACCCACCGGACCCTATCCGCCTAACCCATACATGTTAAACTCATTGTCAGTGCCCTACCTTGTTACAGACCAATTCAGACCTTATTGGTCACCTCGTGCCCCTTAGAAATCTCAACGTTCATCCTACAAAGTCCCATCACAAGGGAGAGAAACACAAACAAATAGACAAAACAATTGTTTGCCCGTATTGAAACGGCTGTACGCCGTATGGACCTGATAACTCAATTTCCCCGTACAAGAATACACAGTAAACCAATCTAGATTTGAAGTTTTCGTGACTGCAGGGATCCACACTCTTTCGTTATTTCGGTAAAGTCACGTAGGTATAAAATACGTGACTTTATCGAAAGAACCAAAGAGTACAGAGTAAACCGTTTGGATTGACAGATGTTCTAACACTACTCTTGACTCTGACCTCACACTCCACCCGGGTCCCCGTACCGCACTGCAAGAGGTCCCCCGTGAGTGTAAATTAGAGTTGCCACCTGCCGTCACCACAAGCGGACCGTGGGTAGGCATGGAGACAGTGCAAGGGACACGGGGAGACACGGAGACCATGGAGAGACACGGAGACCATGGAGAGACACGGAGACCATGGAGAGACACGGAGACCATGGAGACACATGGGGAGACACGGAGACCATGGAGATACACGGAGACCAAGGAGACACATGGGGAGACACGGACACCTTGGAGAGACACGCGGAGACACGGAGACCATGGATAGACACGGGGAAACACGGAGACGATGGGGAGACAGGGAGACTATGGAGAGACACAGAGACCATGGAGATGCATTGGGGGACAGGGAGATTATGGAGAGATATGGGGAAACAGGGATACCATGGGGAGACACAGAGACCATGGAGAGACATGGGGAGATACGGAGACCATGGAGAGACATGGAGAGACATGGGAAGAGACACGTTGCCCATGGAGAAACACGGGGAGACACGGATACCATGGAGAGACATGGGGAGACAGGGAGACTATGGAGAGACATGGGAAGAGACACGTTGCCCATGGAGAAACACGGGGAGACACGGAGACCATGGAGAGACACGGGGAGACATGGATACCATGGAGAGACACGGAAACCATGGAGACACATGGGGAGACACGGATACCATGGAGAGACACGGGGAGACACGGAGACACATGGGGAGACAGGGAGACCATGGAGAGACATGGGGGGACACAGAGACCATGGAGAAACATGGGGAGATACGTGGCCCATGTAGAGACATGGGGAGACACGGATACCATGGGGATTCTAGTGTTCTCTTGGCGCCGAGGGGTTAGAGGGAGTTGTTTGGAGGGGGTAGAGGGAGTTGTTTGGGAGGAATGCCATTGCAATCCCCGCACTCGTTCACAATGGGTGACGACTCGTGGGTCGTGGGTCGTGGGCGCAGCCGCTCCCAATTGTCCGGAGCTACCCCGAGAGCCGGGAGCCGGAATCCAGGTCCCACAACCCAAGACCCTCCGGATTTGGTCCCACAGTTCCACAAACTGACGATGATGCAGGTGGCGTGCGCGTTACAACGTTTAAAAAAATGTTTAGTTACTTGCTTAGCTTTCTGAACACTTTGCACTCCTATTGGTTCTTGTATTGTTTGTTGCTGTAACTTTCTGACGCGCCCCTTATTGGATATCTGTGAAAAAGAGCTTCATAGCTTATCGGATATTACCAGTCTAAGTAAAAATTCTGATTCTGAACCGAGTCGGATGTGTGTCATCAGGCTGGGCTCCAGTTGAGCTGGGGTGGGGGTAAAGCTATTTAAAACGAAAACTAAATTATGTTTTTACCAGGTAAAGCCCACTGAGCTATGTAGCGCTTTTTCAGAAGTGAATTGGCCACAAATTATAGTCCAACGAAGTGGCAAATTGTGTGGAAATGTATCGCAGCCAAACACGTTGCTTCTAAATGCGGAGGTATAAACAAGAAATCCACGGGGAGAACACGCAAGCTTCAAATATAGTCAGGGTTGGGATCGAATCCCACGACTACCTGCATACTACGCGAGGGAGTTAACATCTCATGGCGAGATGTTGTCTGTCCGGGGGGAGGGGGGGGGGGGGGGTGATACCCTGACAGCGACAGACCGCTAAGGAGAGTGAACCTGGATGGTGCCACCACAAGAACGGTATGGTGGTGTGCAGGGTGCAGGCGAGCCCGTGTCCAGAGGGCTCGAACCCTGCTTGAACTCAATTTCCGTTTGTGTCACGTTGCTTGCAGGTGATAGTTTTTTTTTCCTTTGGCGTAAAAGACGATTGACGCATTCATTTACGTCTTGTGCAATTGTTTTTGTGTGTTCTCGTGCCTGTCTCGGTGACTCAGGTCTCACTTGCGTCAGAGGGCATTTTGTTGTGGTTATATCGCTTCGTATTATTTTATTACTATTACCATCCACTTAATTTCGAGAGGAAGCCGCTAACTTTTTGTGGTTGCTGTTCTGCAGTAGAGGGGTCATACTTGCTAAGAATAATTTAATTACAATAATTTGCGCGTAATCTTTTTTCAAACGAGGAGGGGGCCACGACGCCGGCACACAATGGTCTCTCCGCTTTTCGAATGACGCCACGGCATCATTAACGCCCCCCACTCCACTCACTGTTGAAGCGAGCAGATGGCGTTAACAAGGAGATCGTGCAAAAGAGGCCCCCAGGTGGTTATGGGGCCTCGTCAATTGAGCTTCTCAAGGTGGCTATAAATAAATTCGAGAGCCGCTGAGAGATGACACAGACAAACCACTGCTATCTGTACACGGGGCTTTTATTCACGGAATGTGGAATGTACACGTCTCGGCGCGGGGTGGGGGGTTCAAGGGGGGGGTGGGGGATTCAAGGGGGGGTGAGGGATTCAGAGGGGGGGAGGATTCAGGGGGGCCCAAGGCGCCCATAAATAACTTAAGAGGATGCGATGCTTGCACGTGGGAACGCGACTGCAGCTGAGCCGATACAAAGACCTCCACCCACCACACCCTCCCAATACCTCGCAAACACAGAGTGCTGTTGGCCAGCACCTATGGAGGCTGGCGCACGGTGCACGACGGGGTGGTGTGGCCTGCACCACGCCCGGTCACCTTTGCCTTCCCCAGTGCTGATGTTTACACGCCGCATCCAGGTACGCTCACTTTCGAGGCCGAGTCGACCAAGGTGACGGCCAGAACCGGTTCAAAAAGATCGCCACTGATGTTGGGCCGTGGCTGGGAATCGAACTCGTCAGTTCTCAGGGCTCGGAGCGCATCGCTCTTGAACACACACACACGCGCCCGCACACACACACGGGTACATACACAAACGTACGCACACACACGTGCGTGCACACTCAAGTACATAAATTGTCGCCATTCAACGCTACCTGCCGCTGACATCAAATTGGCTCTTGTGGCATTCTGGGTGCACCTTGAGGCCACGTGCAGTGTGGAAGGCTCGCTGGCAGATCACGGGACAGACCCAGGTGTTACGAGTTGACCGAGATGACTGGCAGATGCACCACCTGTGCCACCGAATGTGCCAACTTGCGCGTTTTTTGCTGCATGGCGCTCGGCTCGTTGTTGTGAGCGTTGCTCCTCTGCCCTCCGTTGTTGTTGGAGGGCGACTGCTTCCAACTGCCAAGTAGCGTCCTTCACGAGCCTCCTCTACAAAGGTCGATCTTGACATTGATTGTTACCAGTCATCGGCAATCTTATCGTACTACATAACACCATCGCCACTGAAGCTAGCGCAGATGTTCCTGTAAAAGGCGTTCACATTTCCCAAGCATAAAGAAGAGAGGGCGTGATTGTAGCCGAAAAAAAATTCCACCTGCAATGTTTCTCGAACGACGTGATCGACAACAAATCTGTTAGGTTCCTAGTTTATTTGCTTAACCGGGTGAGAGACCTCGAGAGGCTAGCACAGTCTCATTTCCTAAAGTTAAATGGTTTAGGGGCCTGGTCCCCTCGGCTTGGAGTATAAATCCGCAGAAGCCAAAATCAGCGCTAGCCCTTCCCAGCAGTAGGAGCCTCTTGGATGTGATTGTGAGAGAGGGGGTTTTGTGGGTGAGGATGCGAGGGTGTTAGTTAAATTCATCTTTTCGTGGCTTTCGGCCGCGTCATTACTCAATCAGACCCCATGGGGGTGGGAGCAAAAATACATTCACACATTCACACATGTAAACACAGATACATACAGCAAAGATTTCCCACATGGCCTTAACAGACTGTTGGGACAAATGGTGCTAGTGAGCGCCTATGATGGCCGGAACGGCACACGAGGGGCTGCTTGTTATCCCCGGTGCTGTTTAGTACACACACATACACGGTACCAGGTACTCATTTAAGGCCGAGTCGACCGAGGGGAGGCCCACCACCGGTTCAGATATTTGCCATTGATTTTGGCCGTGAGCGGCAATCCAACTTATGGCACTGGGTTCGTAGCGCAGTGCGCTAAACACTAAACCACCGCTCCACCCATACATATAATACGCACAAAGGCAAAGATCCCCCGAATAGCCTTTACAGGCTGTTGGGGCAAGTGCTTTAGTGAGCATCTATTAAGGTCGGAACGGCTCAATATCAACACGCACACGTACACTCACAGGCACACGGATATAAACACAGTACACACACTGTATACAAGACAAAGATCCCCCCCTATAGCCTTAAATAGACTGTTGGAGCAAGTGCTGTTAACGTACACATATGCACTCACGTACAATCATTGTACACGTGTTCACACACCCTGAAATACACAACGGTCCGACTGATGTAAATTCTAATTGTGTTCTAGGTGGGCTACACAAAGATAACATGCTGGCTCAAATCAAGCGGACGTCGTACTGACGACGAGAACATCCGAAAAACAAACGTTCCAAATTCAAAAGTTATCTCTCGAGTGAGCCAGTGGTGGCAATTCCACATTCATATGACGAGGGCGAGTCCATCCATAGGACAACCGCTGTTGGCTTCCCCACACAGTGGTAGTACAGTACTCATTTTATTGACCCCCTCCAGAGGAATAATGGGCAGAGTTAATTACCCACAACCGCCCCCCCCGCACTGCTGCTGGGGCGTCTGGCCAGATTTACAAAAATCTGACCCCTAAAAAATATTCCACAGCGCGGAGGCCGATTGGTGCGACTCGCAGGGCGTGGCTCCGAGTCTCTCGATGAACTACAAAGACAAAGATCCCCCGTATAGCCTTAACATACTGTAGAAGAAAGTGCTGTTAGCGAGCACCTATGAAGACCGGAACGGTACACGAGGAGGTGGGCGGCTAGCACCACGCCCGACCGCCTTTGTCTCCCTAGTGGCGATGTTTACACACCGCACCAGGTACTCATTTGAGGCTGAGTCGACCTAGGGGAGACCCGGGACCTGTTCAGATAATCGTCACTGCTGTTGGCCGTGAGCGGGAATCGAACCCGTGTCGCCAGGTTCATAGCGCAGCGCGCTAACCGCTACACTATCGCTCCCCACTATGAACCACACACACACATGCGCACACAATCGAATATTGAAATAGCCACACGCGCGCGCGCAAACACGTTAACGCTCGCGTACACGCAAACATATACGCGTGTATAGCTTCGACAACTGCCGTTCACTCAGTGGCGATGACGTCGCCACGGCGCTTGTGCCAGGCTAGGTGCACTTTGAGGCCACGTGAAGTGTCGAAGGCTCGCCGGCAGGAGGTCACGGAACAGACCCAGGTGCCATGGGTTGACCGACTTAGTTGACTGGCAGATGCACCAACTGTGTTCCCCACTGTGCCAACTTGCTGCGTTTTAGGCGCCCCGCGCTCTGCTCGTTTGTTGTGAGCATCGCTCCTCTGCTCTCCGCTGTTGCGGGGGGGGAGGCGACTGCCTTCAACTCTCCATCTGCGTCCTTTCGCGAGCCTCCTCCACAGAGGATAGCTAATCCTGTATACCTACACGCGCACGCACAGCCGTATGTTCACGGTTATGTACGTGTGTTAGCAACCACGCACACAAGCACATATGTTCACATATGTACCTAGACACAAAGATCCATCGCAGAGCTTATGTAAATTGCGCAGACAGTTAGGGAGCATTTATTAAGGTTGGAACGAGCAAGAGGGAGTGCCGTGCCTTGGACCCCTCGCGGCCGCATCTGTCTCCCCGGTCAGCGTCATGCCCTTTAAGGCTGAATCGAGGAGGTCCAGAACCGTTAGAGAACCGGTTCGGGTATTTACCCTCCACCGATATTCACCGTGGCCGGGAATCAAACTCAGCTGGGTTACCTGGTTTGTAGCGCAATGCGCTAACTACCGCGCCACCGCTCCCTCCCTCCCTCTACCACACACGCACATATATAGAGACGAAGACGACCCGTATAGCCTTTATAGACTGTTGGGGCAAGTGCTGTTAGCGAGAACCTATTAAGGAAGCCGGCACGGCACACGAGGGCGTGGGTGGCCAGCACCACGCCCGGCCGCCTTTGTCTCCCCAGTGACGATGTTTACACATCCCATCTGGTACTAATTTAAGGCTGAGCAGACATAGGAGATGACCAGGACCGCTTCAGATTATTGTCACTGGTGTTGGCCGTGAGCGAGAATAGAACTCGGGTCGCCGGAGTGCAGTGCGTTCACCGCTGTACAAAGATCCCCCGTATAGCCTCGGAAGACTTTGGGGTAAGTGCCGCTGTATTATCGCTCCACACACACGCGCATACACACAGCAGCCCCCCCCACCCACCCATTCGCAACATGCCACTGAGTGGCGGCGACGTCACAAAGCACTTGTGCCAGACTGGGTGCACTTTGAGTCCACTTCCTGGACACATTTTTACACGCAACCACAATCACAACACAACAAGAGTTGGTCTCTGACCCCATGACCCACAACGTCCTTTGACTCTGACGCCCTTGTCTTGACCGCTCCCGGGTCTCCGTACAGGGGCCCTGGGGGTGACAGAGACTGGGGTCTTGGTGGGGGAAGGGGGGGTTGGAGGCCCCACGATAAGTCCTGGGGGTCACGGGCCCCCCCATGGGAGACGGGTGAGTGGGGTGGGTGGGGGAGGCAAGAGGGTCCCAGGGGACACAGCGACCCTCAGGCCAACCAGCCGTGGGGCCCACCCCTTCACGGGGGGGGGGGGGTGACGCAGGGGGCCGTGCAGTCACCCTCGCGGGGTCCCCGTGTCACCTTGGGTCTCCGTGCCAGGCTAAGCGAACCCCGCGGTGACCCCGTGCCTGGGTGCCCAGCGGGGTATCCGCGCCGGGTAGGGGAGCTCCGTACCAGGCTAGGTGACTCCCCCCTTCCATACCTGCCCTCAATTTCCTACACCAGCTCGGGCGAATTGTTTTAGCCACGCACTGTTTTCATGCCAGACTAGCTCCCCTTTTTTGCCCGGTGGGGAGAGGGGGGGGGGGGTGGTGGGGTCTCCGCGTGCCAGGCTAGGTATCATCCCCGCCGGTGACCCCTGCCGCGCGTGCCAGGCAAGGTGCGCCTCAGAGCTCGGCGCTGTCGGAGCCCAGGCGCCGGTCGGTGCTGGCTGCCGACAGGAGCGTGGAGTGCATCGGCTTGAGGGCCGCGGGGCCGTCCCGGGCCCCCCCGGCCCCCCGCTCCAAGCGCCACCGCTCCCACGTCTTGCGCAGCTCCGCCTGCACCTGCGGATGGGGGGGGGGGGGGGGGTGGTCGCGAGAACATCGTCATCGTTCGCTGATGAGGACACCGGATGACGAAACCGGTCCAGCGTTGGCTTGCGACGAATCAATTGTTAGAGCAAGGCCGACGACTCTGCATGCTGACGAGACAGGTGCCGAGCGGGCTTGTGTTGAACCGATGGGTCAAGCGAGCCTGACCCTGCTCATGAGGCACCGAATGGCGACGTCCACGATCGCCAACCACCGGCTAAGTTTCTCACCGAATATTCTCCGGGCCACTGACACACTGGGAGAAGGTCCCCCACAGTAGCCATAGCGGGGGAGACAAGTATACTGGATGTGGTGTGCCTGGTGCATGCATATTTTCTGGATCGCCAACCCAGATGAGAGCCGACTGAAATTAATGCATGTTCACCAACCAATCAGGAGAGGTGCTCGCTTGCTTGGGCTTTTGCAATATTGAGTACTAATTAGACTGTACATACCTCACTGTTGATGAAGCAGTAGAGGATGGCCACCAGGAGGCCCTGTACACACCGCACCCATCACACACACCGCACCCATCACACACACCGCATCGATCAGGCACACCGCACCGATCAGGTACACCACACCGATCACACACACTGCACCGATCAGGCACACCGCATCAATCAGGCACACCGCACCGATCAGGCACACCGCACCGATCAGGTACACCACACCGATCAGGCACACCGCACCGATCAGGCACACCGCACCATATCAGACACACCGCAGGAAATAACGCGCACGGCACCAAAATATGTACACCACGGGTACTCGTTTTACGGCTGAGTCGACCTAGCGGAGGCCCAGGACCGATTCATAGATCACTCGCTAATGATAATGGCCGTGGCAAGGAATCATCTCAGGTGTCCGCATGCGTAGCATAGTGCGCTAACCACGAAGCCCAAAGGGAAGGGAATGTTTGTATGTATGTATGTTGAACTTCTTTTGTACCGTATGTAGCCAACCGCGCTAATGCGTGACCCCACGGTGAGTCCTCCAGTCCAGTGACAATGGCACGCGTAACGGCCTTTGTATAGGCAGGGCCACATCATCCTCATCATCCTCATCATCATCATCACGTGCAAGGAACTATCCACTGCTGGCTATATTGTCGGGCGGCCTACACTGGCCAAGCGGAAAGTGGCGGGGCCGCACCAGGGAATGGCAGAGCGTGGGCGACAGTGCTCCACCAGAGAGCGTCAGATTCAAGCCGGGCCACAGAATGTCAAAGGGAGAAAGACTCTCAGCCGCTGCCTGCAACCCTGGTGAAAGGGAGGTGGGGGTGGAGGGGGGGGAGGAATTTATTTTTGAAAAAGTAATCAAGGCCGTGCAAGACTTTGGTTTGTGGAGGAATGGCAAGTGCTGCGTGTCGCACGGGAAGTTGACACCATGGGTCACGGGGTCATTTTCATACAAATAACACAAGCTCAGCATTGTCCCTGCCTCAAACGCGGTCGTCATTTCAGCGAGGGGAGATTTTTGTTGCTAGGTTTTGTTTTGACCGAATGTGTTCCAACGCAAATGGCCCCAGGGCATTTCATATTCCGCGTTCGAGACTGCGCTGGGCGCGTGTGGCGTGACCGAGTGCCGTAGGTGTGTAGCCGTCGCAGTCGTAGCCAGAGGTATTCCGGATGTGGTGTGCGGGGTGATGAAGTATTTTTCTGGTCACCGAAATGTATCCCTGAGTTGGGTATTAGGTTATCGAGGGAACTTTGCCTTTGTATATGGCATGTATGAGTGTGTGTGTGTATGTACATGAGTGTATGTAAGTGTGTGTGTGTATGTGTGTATGTACATGAGTGTATGTAAGAGAGTGTGTGTATGTGTGTATGTACATGAGTGTATGTAAGAGTGTGTGTGTATGTACATGAGTGTATGTAAGTGTGTGTGTATGTACATGAGTCTATGTAAGAGAGTGTGTGTATGTGTGTATGTACATGAGTGTATGTAAGAGTGTGTGTATGTGTGTATGTACATGAGTGTATGTAAGAATGCGTGTGTATGTACATGAGTGTATGTAAAAGTGTATGTGTGTATGTACATGAGTGTATGTAAGAGTGTGTGTATGTGTGTATGTACATGAGTGTATGTAAGAGTGTGTATGTGCGTATGTACATGAGTGTATGTAAGAGAGTGTGTGTATGTGTGTATGTACATGAGTGTATGTAAGAGTGTGTGTATGTGTATATGTACATGAGTGTATGTAAGAGTGTGTGTATGTGTGTATGTACATGAGTGTATGTAAGAGAATGTGTGTATGTGTGTATGTACATGAGTGTATGTAAGAGTGTGTGTATGTGTGTATGTACATGAGTGTATGTAAGAGAGTGTGTGTATATGTGTATGTGTGTATGTAAGAGTGTGTGTATATATGTGGGGAGCTGTTGTGTAGCGGTTAGCTTACTAGGATCGATTCCCGCTCATGGTCAATACCAGTGACGATTATCTGAGCTAGCCCTGGACCTCCCATAGGTCGATTCAGCCTCAATCGAGTACTTGGTGCGGTGTGTAAACATCGCCACTGGGGAGACAAAGACGGTCGGGCGTGGTGTTGGCCACCCACCCCCTCGTGTTCCGTGCCGGCCTTCATGGGTGCTCACGAACAGCACTTGCCCCAACAGTCTGATGAGGCTACACGGGGGATCTTTGTCTTTGTACATATTTGAGTGTAGAACTTCTTTGGCACCGTACGTAGCCAGCCCTGCTAATAGGAGGTGCCGGGGGAAGTCCGCTACGAAAAAAGGAGGCTGTAAAGCATTGTGCATATTTAGAATGAGTCTCAGGTGCCGCCACAGTGCAGGTGTCTCAGGGATCATTAGAGTGGGGGAGGATCAAAGGGGGTAGAGGGGTGGGGGTAGAGGGGAGGGGGTAGAGGGGAGGGGGTAGAGGGGTGGGGGTAGAGGGGTGGGGGTAGAGGGGTGGGGGTAGAGGGGTGGGGGTAGAGGGGAGGGGGTAGAGGGGTGGGGGTAGAGGGGAGGGGGTAGAGGGGTGGGGGTAGAGGGGAGGGGGTAGAGGGGAGGGGGTAGAGGGGAGGGGGTAGAGGGGAGGGGGTAGAGGGGAGGGGGTAGAGGGGGTAGAGGGGGTAGAGGGGGTAGAGGGGGTAGAGGGGAGGGGGTAGAGGGGTGGGGGTAGAGGGGAGGGGGTAGAGGGGAGGGGGTAGAGGGGAGGGGGTAGAGGGGTGGGGGTAGAAGGGTGGGGGTAGAGGGGTGGGGGTAGAGGGGAGGGGGTAGAGGGGTGGGGGTAGAGGGGTGGGGGTAGAGGGGAGGGGGTAGAGGGGAGGGGGTAGAGGGGTGGGGGTAGAAGGGTGGGGGTAGAGGGGTGGGGGTAGAGGGGAGGGGGTAGAGGGGTGGGGGTAGAGGGGTGGGGGTAGAGGGGTGGGGGTAGAGGGGTGGGGGTAGAGGGGAGGGGGTAGAGGGGAGGGGGTAGAGGGGGTAGAGGGGGTAGAGGGGGTAGAGGGGTGGGGTTAGAGGGGTGGGGTGACACTGACACGCAGCCACACTGACGAACAGCGACGCTGCCTCGCAGTGTGACACTGAAACACAGTGACACTGACACACACACACACGGACTATGACACCGACACACACGCGGACTGTGACACTACTGCGAGCGGGCACCTGGAAGGATGTGACGGAGAGCTCGAAGAAGAGCTTCACGTGGCGCAGCGTGCCCTGCGCATTCTCGTCCGTGACGAAGGCGAAGATCACCTCGTGCGCGCCCAGCAGCGGGATCAGCGTCAGCGTCGACTTGGCGAGCCTGGGAGTAATGGCACAGCGTGTGCCACTCACAGTGTGACACTCACAGCGTGACACGCACAGTGTGACACGCACAGTGTGCCACTCACAGTGTGACACGCACAGTGTGACACTCACAGTGTGACACTGTGTGACACTCACAGTGTGACATTCACAGTGTGACACACACAGTGTAACAAAACAAAAAAACAAAGATCCCCCGTATAGCCTTAACAGACTGTAAGGGCAAGTGCTGTTAGCTAGCACCTATGAAGCCCGGATCGGTACACGAGGGGGTGTGTGGCCAGCACCACGCCCGACCGCCTTTGCCTCCCTAGAGGCAATGTTTACACACCGCACCAGGTACTCATTTGAGGCTGAGTTGACCTAGGGGAGGCTCGGGACCGGTTCAGATAATCGTCACTGGTGTTGGCCGTGAGCGGGAATCGAACCCGAGTCGCCAGGTTCATAGCGCAGCGCGCTAACCACTACACAGTGTGACACTCACAGTGTGACACTGAGTGACACGCACAGTGTGACACACACACAGTGTGACACTCACAGTGTGACACTCACAGTGTGACACTGTGTGACACTCACAGTGTGACACACACAGTGTGACACTCACAGTGTGACACAGTGTGACACACACAGTGTGAGACTCACAGTGTGACACACACAGTGTGACACTGTGTGACACTCACAATGTGACACTCACAGTGTGACACTCACAGTGTGACACTCACAGTGTGACACTCACAGTGTGACAACAACAACAACCGCCATTCGCCACTAAGTGGTGGTGACGTCACCACGACGCTTTTGCCAGGCTATGTGCACGCTGAGGCCACGTGAAGTGTCGAACGCCCGCTGGCAGGAGGTCACGGGGCAGACCCAGGTGCCACGGGTCGACTGACTGAGATGACTGGCTGATGCACCACCTGTGCCCCCTACTGTGCCAACCTGCTGTGCTTTAGCCACCCGGCGCTCCGCTCGTTGTTGTGAGCGTCGCTCCTCCGCCCTCCGTTGTTGTTGGAGGGCGACTACCTCTAACTGCCCAGTAGCGTCCTTCACGAGCCTCCTCCACAGAGGCCGATCTTGACACCGCTGGTACCAATCATCGGCAAGTCCACTCAGCTCCACGTCCTCCTGTACCACATCACTCCATCTCTTCTCTAGCCCGTGCCGCGCCCGCTTAGCCCCTTCAATCCGGCCAAACAAAAGCTGTTTCGGCATGCGGTGGCTGGGCATGCGGGCTACATGACACAGCCATCGCAGCCTTCCCCGCCGGAGGAGCTCACCGATGGGACCTTGCCCAGATCTTTCAAGGATTTGTGAGCTCCTCACACAATCCAGTCTGGTTAAACCCAGGATGGATCGTAGGCAGGCCAGCCTAAATGTTTCTAACCGGCGAAGATGTTCCATTAGGGGGGTCCACGTTTCGCAAGCGTAGAGAAGGGAGGGAATGACCGTGGCCGAGAAGACCTGAAGCTTAGTGCGGAGCGACAGACCAGGTAGCTTCCACACAGCGTTACGCAACCGATGAAAAGATATTGCCGCTCGACTGATTCGGAGTGAGACCTCTGTTGTTAAACTGGAGCCAGTCATAAGCACACTGCCCAGGTATGGGAAACTCTCCACTCTCTCCACAACTGCCCCATCACCGATTGGGAGTTGTGGGGGTGGAGTGTCCGATGGCACAAAATACCCAGGCAGGTGCTTAGTTTTGGTGGGGCTGATGGTAAGGCCCCACCTCTTAGTGGCACGCTCCAGTCTCAGCAGCAGCATCTCCAACTCCTCCTCTGAATGAGCAGCTATTACCAAATCATCAGCATACGTAACGTGGTTGAGCAATAGGGAGCCATCGCTTGACCGCACCGGGGCATCGATCAGCCTCCCATTATATCTGTACCATATGGAGATTCCCCCGGTACAGCTATTGAAGGCTTCACGAACTATGCGGTCAAAATAGATGTTAAATAATGTGGGAGCCAGAGGACATCCCTGTCGCACCCCAAGGTGTACAGGGAATGGCTCTGACTCGCGGCCACGTAGTTTTACCCGGGCCCGCTCACCATCATGAAGGTCCTTAATGATCGTGAGCAGAGGGTCAGGTACTCCAAAAGCACGAAGAACAACCCAGAGCCCAGGCCTACTGATGGTATCATAGGCCTTGACCAGGTCAATAAAGCAGAGATGTAGGTCTTGTTGGAATTCCCTGCACCTCTGCTGTAGCAGACGGACAGAAAATATGGCATCTGTGCAGGACCGCCCTTTCCTGAAACCGCACAGTGTGACACTCACAGTGTGACACACACAGTGTGACACTCACAGTGTGACACTCACAGTGTGACACTGTGAGTGTGACACTGGGTGACACTCACAGTGTGACACAGTGTGACACACACAGTGTGACACACACAGTGTGACACTCACAGTGTGACACACTGTGTGACACACACAGTGTGACACTGTGATACTCACAGTGTGACACTCACAGTGTGACACTGTGTGACACTGTGTGACACTCACAGTGTGACACACACAGTGTGACACTGTGTGACACTCACAGTGTGCCACTCACAGTGTGACACACACAGTGTGACACTCACAGTCTAACACACACAGTGTGACACTGTGTGACACTCACAGTGTGACACACACAGTGTGACACTGTGTGACACTCACAGTGTGACACACACAGTGTGACACTGTGTGACACTCAAAGTGTGACACTCACAGTGTGACACTCACAGTGTGACACACACAGTGTGACACTGTGTGACACTCACAGTGTGACACTCACAGTGTGACACACAGTGTGACACTCACAGTGTGACACTCACAGTGTGACACTCACAGTGTGACACTGGGTGACACTCATAGTGTGACACTCACAGTGTGACACTGGGTGACACTCACAGTGTGACATTGGGTGTGTGACACTCACAGTGTGACACTCACAGTGTGACACTCACAGTGTGACACTGGGTGACACTCACAGTGTGACACTCACAGTGTGACACAGTGTGACACTGGGTGACACTCACAGTGTGACATTGGGTGTGTGACACTCACAGTGTGACACTCACAGTGTGACACTGGGTGACACTCACAGTGTGACACTCACAGTGTGACATTGACGCAATGTCGTGGGCGGAAGTGAGGGAGGGTAGGGGGTGGGGATTGGAGCCATGGAGGGGTGGCAGTGAAGGTGTTGGGATGTTCCAGGGGTGACAGGGATGGGAGGGAGGTGATGGGGGTGATGGAAGCGAGGTGATGGGTGTGAAGCGAGGGGTGATGGGAGGAGGGTGATGGGGGATTTGGTGATGGGGGAGAGGTGACGGGGTGATGGAAGGGAGGTGATGGAGATGATGGTTGTGATGGGGGTGATGGAAGGGAGGTGATGGGTGTGATGGGAAGGAGGTGATGGGGTTATAGGGTGATTGATTAATGCGCCTCGGCCTGGGAGACTGCGTGGGAGAGCATCTGAAACTGCGGGTTGCAGGGGGGGATGGTTGAGGGGGGGGTGGTTGAGGGGGGGGGATGGTTGAGGGGGGGGTGGTTGAGGGGGGGTTGAGGGGGGACGGTGGTTGAGGGGGGGGTTGAGGGGGGGGGAATGGTTAATGGGGGGGGTGGTTGAGGGGGGGGGTGGGTGATGGGGGGGGGGTGGTTGAGGGGGGGGGGTGGTTGAGGGGGTGGTTGAGGGGGGGTGGTTGAGGGGGGGGGGGTGGTTGAGGGGGGGGGTGGTTGAGGGGGGGGGAGTGGTTGATGGAGGGGTGGTTGAGAGAGGTCCTCCGTTGGTTCCTAATGAGGCGCGGGTATAATGGGAGCGGGGAGCGCTCACCTCTCATCACCTCTCATTCGTCATCGCGTCCAGCTCAGCGCATTTCATTCCCCCCCCTCCACTCTCCCAGCTGTCAATCCCTCTACGTAATTCATCTCTCTCATCCACTATCACTCTCAGAGCGCTATTAATGAATGGCTAGGAGCTGTGGATGAGTCACTGGGCTACAGGTGATGTGAATGATGTACTTGCTATGAATGAATGAGCTACAGGTGCTATGAATGATATACGTGCTATGAATGAATGAGCTACATGAGATATGACTGCTGTACGTGCTTTGAATGAATGAGCTACAGGTGCTATGAATGATATACGTGCTATGAATGAATGAGCTACATGAGATATGACTGCTGTACGTGCTATGAATGAATGAGCTACAGGTGTTATGAATTATATACGTGCTATGAATGAATGAGCTACATGAAATATGACTGCTGTACGTGCTATGAATGAATGAGCTACATGAGATATGACTGCTGTACGTGCTATGAATGAATGAGCTACAGAATAAATGTGCTACATGTGATATGACTGCTGTACGTGCTATTAATGAGCTACAGGAGCTATGAATGAGTTACAGGTGCTATGAATGAGCTACAGGTGCTATGAATGAGCTACAGGTGCTATGAATGAGCTACAGAAGCTATGAATGAGTTACAGGAGCTATGAATGAGCTAGAGGAGCTATGAATGAACTACAGGTGCTATGAATGAGCTACAGGTGCTATGAATGAGCTATGTGCTATGAATAAGCTACAGGAGCTATGAATGAGTTACAGGAGCTACGAATGAGTTACAGTAGCTATGAATAAGCTGCAGGAGCTATGAATGAGTTACAGGAGCTATGAATGGGCTACGTGAGCTATGAATGAGTTACAGGAGCTGTGAATGAGCTACGTGAGCTATGAATGAGCTACAGGAGCTATGAATGAGCTACAGGTGCGATGAATGAGTTACAGGAGCTATGAATGAGCTACAGGATCTTTGAATTAGCTACAGGCGCTATGAATGAGCTAAAGGAGCTATGAATGAGCGACAGGTGCTATGAATGAGCTACAGGAGCTATGAATTAGTTACAGGAGCTATGAATGAGTTACAGGAGCTATGAATGAGTTACAGGAGCTATGAATGAGCTACAGGAGCTATGAATTAGTTACAGGAGCTATGAATGAGTTA